ATGATTATGACGAGCAGTTAATGCGGCACACTTAACCATCTGCTACACTGAGGACCGCCCGTCAAACGAAGGTCTGAACAATGAGTTTCCAGTCTACAACACACTAACGTTAAACTAGTGCTTTATTTATGTGATCTGCAAACTATGAGCGGAATTGGTCTCCAGCTTGGAGGATTGCTAGGCATTTTCCATCCCTAAGCTAAATATATAAACCATGCAGTGTCAAAATATCTGATCAAATCTGTTCGATCGTTCAGCGTGTTTTATCGAGTTCGCCCTGACCGTTCAATGACGATCAGCTAAAATAAATTTTAGAGAATCGGAACGATTGCAGTCGTGCTGCTTCAATCATAATCAAGTCGTCAAAAAGGAAGCCGGCATTACTGACCTTCTTATTACCATTACATCAGGAAATAACTCCAAAAATACATGAGTGCTCGATAGTCTCTATTTTAACTGACTAAAGCTCAAATGCTATCAGTTCAGTGCTGTTTGATATTACATGCACACATCATCCGTGTTCAGGCAGTCTCCCTCATGCCATAGCGTGATTTTTCTGGTGATACCACACAATATGGGGGAGTGCTCTGCACTCTAGTTTGGCTTTTACTAGAAATCATCAACAGTGCATATCTTCAACTAAGGTTTGAACTCAGGATACCTGACAAACGAGGAGATTGTGCTACCACTACCCCACCAGCATGCGCTGGATGCATTCGAATTTTCATGCCTGAACACGTCCACCCTTGATGCGATTGCCCGACACCTCAAACAACGATCCATTAACTGTCTTGATTGTGTCAATCTATTGATCCACCTTTGAGGAATTCCCAGTCAAACAGTGGTACGGACGATTTGCGACGTTCAGCAAAACAATTGCTTCGTACAGGAATGAACATGGTCGCTTGTTCAGACGTAGAATTTCAGGTATGTCCAGCGCGCGCTGATGGTGACACGCTCGCCTTGCACGTCAAATATCCCGAGTTCAAAGCCCGACAAGGACAAGGGAGTGCCCTCCTGATGAACTCCACTGAAAGCTCACCAGAATACGTACAAGATGGATGTGAGCACGAATTCCACGACCACCTACATGACCACTCATTCATGAACCTGAGTAGTGGAATCTTACCAGGAGCCCTGCTGGCAAGAATTGTATTCTTATTTGTCATAGAAAAATATAATAATGTTCCAACTACCACTTTCACTTTGGTATTTATAACCAGGTCTTTTGGAAGCGAATGCGCACCTTAAGTTAACGATATTTTGGTCAGTTAAATTTATTTGAAGTTTTACCGCTCAAATCACCCATGCTAAAAATGCCCTCATAATTATCTCCAAGTTATGAAACCTTCTACAGGAACAATCCACAACTCATGTGTGGTCAGATGTATTTTTATCTTTGCTCGGAAGACCGCCGAAGGACTGAGCGTGAAGCTTAAGCAATCGTTATTTTTTGTCACTGTCGTTTGGCACCAAAGATTTTCGGCGACTGAGAAAATACGACAAACTCACTACAAAATTCAAGAAGAAAAATCAAATGTAAACAAACTTAAACCTGGACAATTTCAGTGCTGCAAAAAACGCCATATACACTCATAACGTCCAGTTTGCATGAGCGTTCGTCGGTATTTCTGACTTGAGTTTTCTTTACTGGTAGACGTTACCGCCGTTAATCAACAGTCACAAGATTTTGACTTTCTCAGAAGCCAACTTCCGAGTCCTGCGATGTTGCTTGAATCTTATTTTGTGCTCCATCCACCTTGCAGTTAGCCAGCAATGCTACGTTTTTTGCGTTCTACAGAGTTCTAAAGAGTTAAATAACCGTAAACCAGCAGCATACACAAACACCAACAATCCAACGACATTATACTGTAATTTTCAGCTACTCTCGTTGGTGCTGTGTAAAACTCGAACTCCCCTCGGGATTCTTCAGTCTCTAATAGTAAATTGCTCATTCAAAGCAATGACAATTGTCATTGAAGGTAGATGTGTTTGAGCTATCCTGTTTGGCCATAAATAAATGGGCATCCATGGCAAAACACACGTGATCATAGGAAACAATCCATCTGGAAATTCGGATACGATCGATGTAACTTTATCGAGATATGTGGTTGAAAAGCAATTTAATTACTGTTGACTAGGAAGTAGTGTAAATTTAATCGAACGCGTTTGAGCTATACGGGACATACATCAAGTGTGCTGCATTTCGGGTAAGAGGACGCCGGTACTTTTATGTATCAAGTAAAAAGCATTTTAGACGGTTAATTAAGAAAATATAACAACTGTTCCTCATAATGCTAACATTAAATTTAGGCTGAATCGCCGTGCGGTCGTGACGTTCCGGAAGTAGAACAATGATGGCTACATCGAATGCTCGAGTAAGGAATCTACGCAGATATTACATTCGCATTATTTTGAGAGGGTAGACAGAAAGCTTTCCAAGTTGTCCGTGTAGTCACTGCATCTAATTCGTTCGAAGAATCTATGTGAATGGGTGAAGACCTACTTATATCAACTGTGAGGCCATTACCCAAGGAGAGGAGTCCCAACAGGCTCAATGAACAGGTTGACGGCTGAATCGTATTGACGGTCATTGTGCTCGAGCTCATTTTAGGACATCAGGCAGATATAATAATCAGTAACCCCAGGAAAGGTTTCTGGTATTACTTAATGAATCTTGGGGACAGCTAACGCTCACAACATCTATATATCCATCTTCAGAGTCAGTAAGTATATACCCACGTTCAAGGAATTGCCGAAAAATTGGTCACTCGGCTAGGTCCATCGCTTGTTACTCAGAGGCAATGAAACCCAGCGCTGAAGGCTGCAAGCAAGTTGCCGCGTTAGACCATTAAACTGATTTCAACAAACAAATTAGCAGCGAACGCCAGAACGCGAAACTGAATGAAATAAGTCAACAACGCTGAAAGTTGAGAGCGTGCAAATCAAGTGAAGTGTGTAGAATAGAATTTGAGCCTGAAAGCTTGAGTTGACGCAAGCTCAGAGAATAAGCCTGCTTGGGAAAACCAAAAAAGGGGAAAACTGATCGTAGGCCGCCAGTTTTCGGTGAAATCATGGGTATATATACTTTGATGTCTCCGTTGTCGCACCAAATGAATAAAGATGTTGTCTTTGCGCAGTACACTCCGTTAGAGCAATTCACAGAAGATGGATTCATTTGGAATTCAGTAGTGCGCCTTTTAACCAAAATTCTTGTTTGTTTTGGAAATTCTTTGATGATTTGTGAAGCAGATATTCATTCGGGACAAAGCAACCAGCGGGTTTAATGGAATATGAATTTTGGTCGTGATTGTTTTCAATGCATACGAAGACGATAGATACAGAGTATATTCTGCGTTATGATAAACTGAAAGGCTTCTATAAACAACGATTGATTAAGTCACAAATATGAGAATGAGAAGTGACCTTCAACAGAAACATAAGGGACCAAACGTACTTTAAGCAAATTCGAAGGCCCAACTTTCACCGCTGCCTCTGGACCTCGGTAAGCACGTGAAATCTAGGCATTTTCTCTAGCGCTACAGACAAACATTTTGCAGGCTGATGTTTGAGGGAAAAGTGACTCCTTCAGATACAGTGAGCACTTCGAAAAACGTGTGATAAATATGATGATGGGAAGAAATTTTCGAAGTTTTAAATGAGACTCTATCCTCTGTGCGATGTCAGTACATGCAAATATTGACTATGAAAACACCTTATCCCTGTTATATTGACCAATAGTTTGTACGTCGTAAGTTTCTAGGGGATTATACTTCGTAACCTTCCGGTTTTTCCTTAAGGGCCAACTATATCATTCTGGCACAGGCAGCTGTTTAGCAATCTGATCAACCCTAAAAAAGAAATAGTATTGGAGTCACTTGTCCAACAGCCATGCCATTTTTGTACACTGCTCATTTATCTCCTCACTTCCATGGTGGAGATTCTTCAGATAAAATGCTCAGATAGCTTGCAAGCTGCGTTTTTCGTTCCACATCGTGTTACATATCGTTCTAACCATCGTAAAAGAGAGATCTAACTGGGTTACCGGTGTCTTTCATCAAAACCAACTTGGCTTACAAATCAGTGCATTTTGATAACACCGTAATGGCCCCGTAACTGAGGAGCCCGTTTTTATTGTAGATTGTGGTTCTCCAGTTAAAATCCAGCTTTCCTGAATCAGTTAAATCCTTATACGAACATATCTGTGATACTGCTGCGCGGATTGGATTGTATATATATATCCATGTATATATACCCATATATATATATGTATGGTCAGCAGTACTTTCAGCCAAGGCGTACATTTTGCATTCACTAAAGCTTTTTTTCTCTGCCCTTCTGTTGTTAACCTGCTAAGTGAGTGCGACAGTGAGATAGGATAATCTCTACTCTAATTTAGTTTCCTTCGGAATTTTATATGTACGGCTTTGAAAATAACGTTCTTTGAGGTAGTTAATTAATTTATCCTTTGAGGTGCTGCGCAACGGTAAACTACGCCTTATGAAAGCGAGCCTCGAGGAGCAGACGGCGTATTATTGGTCCGGTGAATTTGATACCACAGATTAAATAAACCGTGTTTCCTAAGTTTGAACCATAGCACTCTAACAAGCTTATACAGAATCTCTACTGCCCACGGATCAATTAATTGTATCAGACCGACCACCAATAGTGGTCTGTCATGGGATTAAATATTTAAGGGAATGTGTCCCCACAAATAAGTTTTGTTCTTAGATTTTCGCCATTTTATGGAATGGTGAAACTTTTGGTGTTGTTGGATGACAAGAAACAGGGTGCGACAATCCTCGACAGAATGCTATTTCGTCCCTTACCAGTGACATACGGCTATCTGTGTTTGACATTTATTGGCTACTGGCAAACTGAGGAGTGTGAACAGACAGGTAAAATCGATACATTCACGAAACCCACATTCATAGGCCAACCACCGTTCTTAATTCCAACGAACTTGCTATCACTAAGACGTAACCAGTTCCTGGTCGAACCACAATATGGGCAGTGAGTTGGAATGGTGCACTCTTTTACTCGATCGATACGCGACCGAATAACACATCCAGGGGATAATGAGTAGCTTGGTGGAATTTTACACGCAAGAGTGAGTCTTTATTATATTTTCTTTTGTACAAAATGTAGGAGCAAATACAAAATATCCCCTTCAGAAAAGTGCTCCGATGTTTTACACAGAAAAATTTAACCACGAGTTTTTAAGTGTTCCCTTGGCTTGTTCCTAACAATATACGAATGGAAGCTAAATACCCTGATCTAAGTTGTGTTCAAGATTGAAGTCCGAAGTGCAAGTAACCAGTATGTGTGAAAAGATGGACCAGAACTTCGACCTCCCGCATAGTGCCGGGTGGCATTATATGTCCCCATTAATCGACGTCAAAGGTTTTAGGTTGAACGATGAAGTCTCACCGACCCATTGACACAATATTTAAAACCCCCAAAGACCTGGGTCTTAGCACGGCCTTAGAGGTACCTGCTAGCGGTTCGCCAAGTGATCAGTCTCCATGTGTCTGCCCACACAGCCTTCTGCTGAGTACCAATTCCGCATACACGGTACTCAAATTTACAAACTTTGCAGTATTGATGGTAATCAGTTGCGTGAGTAAGGTAGAAAACAGTCTCAGCAATACAAAAAAAATTGATTTAGGAAGGAACCAAGACAACAGACCAGCAACTACTCCTATATCCTGGCAGGTAAAGTAATACCTGTATTCGAACCACAAAGCGCCAGCTTGGCGTGAATGGATCGCCTGTGGATGGTTAGTCAAACTTCTAGAGCCCGTGTGCACTGAACTACCACAACGTAGTTCAGCAGACATGATCCGGTTTGTTGAATAAGCGATCATTTTTACTGCATAATGTTGCTTCATTGGAGTGACAAGGACACTCAGTAATGTTGAGAACATAAATTTTTGCAAAACATTTGGAAGGTCGGTATTGATTCACCGTAGTCTGCAGGCTCAGGAGCGCACCAAAGAACGAGTACGAATCTGGCAAATGTGGGAAAATTTGCTAGTAGCATAGTCTACCACCTATCATAGAGTATTCTCCAGTAGGTAACATGTTTATGCATTATTAAGTAGAAACTGTATTGGTCTCCTGGAATGTCATAAATATTCTGACTAAAGTAGAATTTTCTCTGACAAGCTTGGCACATCTGTCCAAGACCGAAATCTGTCAAACGGAACACCACAATATGTCAATTCATTTTTACATTCTTTAAGTGAGCAGTTGCTATTTTAGGAGCGATTTCTTGCGTTCACAAGTAAAGAAACTTTCATTTAGGGTATGATGATCAGTTTCGCTGCTTGGTGATGTAAATTTTGTCCTTCTTGAGAAACCGTTTCTCTCAAGCATCTACCGGTTGTAGTTTACAGGTAGACAGTTTATGGATATTCTATAAAAGTTGTTTGTTTTCTTCCTTCATGGTTCCGCTATATCGATTTTTTCTCTGCTGTCTCGAGCGGAGTTCGGATGTAACAACTTGTGGATCAAACAATGGTTTTCCTCGTAGCTTACTATTGTCTCCAAGTCTGTCTATATCCACTACAGCAAGTCTAAAGATTTTCGTTGCTTTTCTACTGACTTGTATACCCAAAGATATCAGCGGAGTAGATTCCTTACGTTCCGCTGTAAACCTGATACCATCGGATGAGGTGTCAGTTAGATCGTGTGCTCTCGTAATGTACCCATTGATAAGGGTCTCTGTAATCTACATAGCAGATTGAGGTTATGGTACTCCGCATTATCATTTCGGCCTTAACTTCGATCACTAGTGATCGCACTGAGATCTTGTCAACGGCTAATTATTTTGCCAGTCAACTTGAAATTGTTTCACGGGTTAATCCGGGTGAGTTCGTTGAACTTGTCCAAGGATTTGCATGTGTTTCTCCCTGATGTCTTCTTGGATGAACAAAGTTGTCATTGTTATTAAAACGCATAAATGCCACGTTGACAGGCATCGATATGTGCATTCACCTGCATTCGGTTGTGATAAACGAGAAAAATATCCAGGGATGAAATATAACGACTGTCGGTATAACTCAAAATAGAGAAGACTTCACAAGAGCTTATTGAACCCTGTTTATTAATATGGAAAACCGAAATAAATTCTTCAGGCAATGTCCTGTATACTCGCAAAAAATCGGGATTGCTAGACTGTTACTCAACTATCCACACCAGGTGTACATAATGTCAAATGTACAAAAATGCCAAATTATCCTAACGAGAACCGTTCAAGCAAAAGTTCCGGTCGAGTTTTGTACTCACCGTCGCCACACTGTACCTCCCTATAGAGTCAAAACGGAGTACTTCATCACACTGACCTGCATGGTCCATAGCCTTTAAAACTAGCAGTTTCGGAGATTTTTTATCAAATAAGATGCAGTCCTTGTGTATAAAACGTGCTTCACCAAACTTTCTTATGATAGCTACCAAACCGGCGAGTACCCACCTACCTAATATCGCCGACTTAAATTCCATAAAAATACGGATTAAAAATGTTGCCGTCAGAATTTGTCTCAAGAGAATGACAAAACGTCCTTCGAGATGTCACTCATCACGTCCATTACTGATATCTTCAGCGAGAGAACATTTCCCGGACAGACCATTTTGAGCGGCTTCTTGGTAGTCTCCAAAGAGGAGAGGGTGCAATTTCATTTGAAAGAAATAAAGGACTAAAGAATACCCAATACTACTAATGCTAGCTGTCCTTGCACCTTTACATTTTAGCCTAGCCGCTCCCAGGCTTAAATTAAGCGCTTCACCTCCGGCATCTTAATATCACCCGACATTTCATGTTACGCAACTCTTCATAGCTTTACTGTACTGATCCTCAAGCGATTAAAATCGCAATTTAGCTTATCGTGGTTGGTTACTTGGATCACAAAAGGAAGCAAACAACCGTGTTCCGCAGTACCTAGGAGACAGCTGGCGTATTCCTCAGCCGCGGAGCAATGATACCCTGGAGAAGACGTGCACCGGAGGATTCAATTCTCTTGTATGATTTGTATAAGGCAGAAAGTAAACCAGAACCCATTCACCTGCTAGATTACTTGACCAAAACATAAGAATCACTAGTCTTGGGGGTCTCGTCGCATGTCACAGCTTTTAACATTAGTGTCGATTCGGATGGTTTGTTTTGTTGATTGTTAGTTTGAATGGATGACGTGTCCGTTTCAATTAGGTGAAGTAACATCACTCCCGTGAAGTAACACGAATAAAACCTCATTGAAAATCTGACACAGAAATTTACCTAAGCTCTCCCAGAGTTGAATCGTCCGGTTGAAAAAACGCAGAGTCACCATCTTTTACAGCTCAGAAAATGATTAACCCGGTCCCAAAAGTAGAGGTAATTCTCGAATATTTGTTTATCTATCTATGGTTCTTTAGCCATAAAAAAGTAACTTAAATCATCGGTTCAGATCCACAAGTGTCCCCTCTATTCCATGCCATGCTCGCATTTTTCACTCTACGCAGTTTTTCAAACGAGGGAGAATGTAGACTAGGATTATTTTACACTAAGTTGGTATCACCGACATCAAAAGCCATTCGGTTGGAAGCAGCGGCCATGAAAACTCGAAGTAGTCATGGGCGAAAAACTGTCACCTAAAGCCCAGTACCTAAAGTTTCGCCCTTATCATGACGACCGAGTCATCTCTACCCAACTGATGCCCAGGAAGTGCCAAACTGGTAGTGGATTGCATTTTAAATTCAGTGTAAGTTAAAAGTGGTAAGTTTCGCTTTTATAGCTGATTTTTCTAAAACCCAGTTTATTCACGGCTGTCACAGAATAAACCTCAGTCTTTTTAGGTGACATTTCCGCCTACCAAACTTACTAGATATACTGATCGTCAACTGATAATTTTATTCAAGATTTAATCATCACGTTTAACGCATTAAAATATTTTGCTCATAATGTGATATTTTTATTATCTTGCTCACTCACAGAAAATTTACAGCTTCCTGATTTTGGAGTGTACAAACAAAATTTGTTAAACTTCAGTACAGCAGCAGTTACTGCATTATTAGGAGCGTTCATCACTGCCCACTGATGTTTTGTTGGCCGCGCCTTTTGCTTCCAAGCTATGATGGGAAATCATTCCAGTAAACGGATTCATGCATGAATAAAGTTCAGGGGCATAGGGTGGCAAATGTAAACCTACTGAGCGTAGAGGCAATACTCGAAACAACAATATCAGAAATGGTGAAACGTTTGTCAAATTTGGCAAGCAGAATATTCGGAACGAAGTACGCAAAAAGTGTAGCATGATGGTTAATCACTCTTCTGAATGTTCTGCTGATGGAAATGATTAGACAATCCAGGAGGTACGCATCCAAGTCAGTGGCCGAATGCAACCGGTTAGGACCAGCAATCTTTTCCAGATATTTTCATGAAACCTCAAACTTTACCATGCACACGCTGCACGAATCAGACTTACCCTGCAGATCCACCAGAACAATCTTTCACTGAGGAAAAGATCTACAGAGGAACGACAAGTTAAGTCAAGTTAAAATCACGTGGAAAAAAATTGAATGTGAAAAAACGGATGTTCCATGTTGTCATGTCCTTGGTAGACTGTTACAAGTCTAATGCAGTGGGATCTATATTGGGGTACAAAAACTGGCGCTTATCAGTGCGGGGTCGATTGGCCGAAATTTCGTTGGCTAAACTTAGGATAATTTACCTTTCTCCCCACTGCATCTGGCTTGTAATGACTGGCTGAGTAGAACACACCTTACTTTGAAGTGATTATGTTCTGCATGTAGCACTACTTTTTGAGACGAGTAATTCATCTCGGATTCATCAGCATGAATTCTATGCTCATATATGTAAATCGAAATATGCTACTCATTGTGTTTTCAAAAAAATTAACCTGGGAGGAGCAGGCTGGCTGAAGGTTGTCTCTGTTGCTATTAATGCGGTTACTGAATAGATTTACATTTCTAGGTGATAAACACTAATCCCAGATGGTATGGCGAAATACCGGTAGTATCATCATCGCCATAAAATATCAATCATTTTATCTGATCTAATGCCAATAATCTTTGCTCCTGCAACGTATATAATATGCTTTGCTTACTGACTTCCTAGCGAATACTTGAGCTCTTTTATCTGCCAGCGTCTTCTTGAACGCCGGCTCATCAATAAGTTTTGAATAATCCGCAAAATGTGTGATATCACTTAATCGCAGACCCTAAATACAGGCTGTAATACATCATACAAATGAAAAAGGGACATTCGGACTATTATGACAAAAACCTAGATTGCTTTATAAAGAAAATTTGCGTCCATTCGTTTACTTCAGGTTGGATTGATTGCAAGCACTATCAGGAATTAGAAGTGATTCCAACTAGTTTTGGAAAAATACATTCGAGATTTACTTCAGAAGGAACAGTGGGCTTGAGCCGATTAATCTGGTTGCTTCAAAGGAAGTGAATAGTACTAGATTTTCTTTTCCACCATGTTAGTAAACAATTCAATTCTGAAACAATGTAGAGCTTTGAAATTCCAACGCTTGACAAATTTGGCAGTGTTGTAAGCATTTCTCCCCTGGCGAAGTCCCAAGAAACCTAATTTTTGTCTGTCTGTCGGCTATGCTGCAGCTTTCTAAAGCCTCTGGAGTTCTCTAGTTACTATTTTAAAGCGGATATTTCTCTCCAGGCGAACATACATTAGAAAACAGCGAGAAGTAACTTAAGGGACCAAATAATTGCCCCGCGCTGAATTATTTTTCAGCCTGTTTCGGTGATTACGGTATATTTACATGGGTCATCAACGTACTCTTTTTCGTGAATTTACCCTTAAGCTTCATTTACTACGTGAATTTCCAGGAATCCCCTGACATGAATACACTTCCCTCCACGCGGTCGGTTAACACATTCCGGTCGGAAGAAAATCGGAGCTCCAGCATCAACAACTTACGCTATCCCCGTCCAAGTTCTCTATACCTTCCTATGAACGATCGGGATGACGACGGTCGGGAACACCTTCTACCAAATGATCCATTCTCCATGGAACGCCGAGCTCAAACCCTTGGTCGACCAACCCATTATAACACTTCCGGTAACAGAAATCTGACCAATCCGTTATTTGAGAGTGTGGGTAGCTTAGATCAACCGTGGTACAAAAGCTATGCCGCCACGTCCACCTTACCTCAACCGACTATTAGTCTACCACCTAACCGGCCGCAAGAAATCAACACATTCGCCACAGCCAGGGAACTGCATTCGACCGTGCGTGTACCTGTCCCACGTAGCCCAGCACGCCCCAGCCCCTATTCAACTATACGTCGACTCAACGAACCAAGCTTGCACAGTTACCGCACCACGCGTGCCACGAAAGCACCACCTTTGTTTTCGTGCGCTGGAAGCAAATGCTGTGAACGTGAACCCAGGTAGTTAAGACGGCCCCAGTTGAAATGTTTTGTACATTTTTCTGTGATCTATTTTGAAAACAGTTTCAAGATACCATGGGTGATAATAACGGTTATACACCGCATGCAAAATCGGCTTTAAAAAATGTTTGAAAATTAAGCTTTTGTGCACTGGTGCCAGTGTATTAGTAATAACAATCCATTTGTTTTGAAAGTCAACCATCAGTTCAGATGTAATTCAAACAGAGAGTGATTGACTTCAGTTCTCATCTTATTAGAAGTTACCAGCAATGAGCATTCTAGGTAACTTGGAGCCTTGGATTATTACATCCATCCCTGAACAATGGACGCTCTGATTCATCACAGTGCACCGGCTCATAATTAATGCAGAAGTTTCCTAAAAGAACAACACTCACAATGTCGATGGAAACTCCTCAACAACCCAAAACCTGTTCAGCTTCCCTTGAGGCTTATCAGGTAGGCGTAGTCCCGAATATCCATCAACCTCGCGTTCTACTTCGACCTCTAAATTGTTAGTTCCAATAAGAACGAAAACTTGTTTGGACTCAATCTATTTTGATATGGGCTATCCAGAATGACTGTGTCATAGAAGCATTGTTAATTGGATTGAATTGTAGGACGGGTGCCGGAAAAGAAACAACAACCGGCTGAGATGTTGTATGCAGGTGCGACCAATTTGACGAGCATAACCCAGAAGACCTCACTAGTGCCTGATGTGTAAAGTTAAGTACCTACTCCACCGCCTAGATAAACGCTACGGGTTTTCTCCTGAACAATTCACTGGTAGTGGGATTTCCCTCTATTGAATTGGTAAACGTATGCAAGCAGCCAAAACTGCAATTAAATCTGCCTATATGTCAATGGATGTTTCGAAAATCCCGAGACGGTAGTGGAGTTTTATGATGCATGTGATGTATGCAAGATGAGAACAAATACCTATAAGCCATAGATACTTTAAAACTATTTTTTCATACCCCAAGAGTCCGTTTACCTTCTTGCATTAACGTAGGGATTAGAGTGTTACTGTGCAATCAGTAAATCATTACCGATGTCATGAACTAACTGCCATTGATATGATCCGTTGGACTGCCCGCTATATGGGTCGTAAGAAACCTCATGGGTTGGAGAAGTAATTGGCTCCTTATTCGAAGTTCGGAATTTCTTACGGTGAGATGTATATAGGGTGTTAAGTGGGACTGTAAGTTCTTCGAAAATCTGTGTGTTCTCCCACTTATGCTCGCATATTTTATATCCTGCTGCCCAATCTCTTGTTGCCGCTGCCTCCGTAGTTCCGTGAGTACCACTACGGTAGCGTCTGTTAACCACTACTGTGACACCAAATACACTTTTGGAGAGGTTGTTTCGAATCTTCCATATATTCTCGTGACAAGGTCGGTAGAGTTCCTCAGTTGTTTTATTTCTGCGTTTCAGAGCAACCTAGTTGTTGCTGTATGGTAGTTATTTCTAATCCTACTCCAGTACTACCCAACAAGTATCCGCATATTTGTTTTACAGGATGCAACTCTCTTTGCTTTTGTCCACAATTAATTCAAAGCGAGCTGCTGAATTAGTTGCAGTTACGTAAGCGCTCCGTAAGAACTCTGCGGTGCATTTCTTATCTACCTCCACCGACATTGTTGAGTGTAATTCTACGAAGCTCGACTAATTGGTTGAGTAGTGTGGTGCTGAATATCCAACCTACCTGCCACCGAACAGAAAAACAACATTCGCCTTGTTCAGCGCTGGGTTTGTGAATAAGTGACAAATATTGGCACAGCATGCACCATGTGAGCAATAAAGCGCGATTGACCAATGGTGCAAATCAGCTGAAACTGACCATCCAACAGACGTCAACAGAAGTGCATGCACGCAAAAGGGATCCATGCGAAAAGAAATTTGCTTAGACAGCCAGTGCAAAAAATGAAGGTCTGTTCAAACAAGCCCCATGTTAATAGACACGTTAAAGGTTTTAGAACAAACCATGACAGGGAAGAAACATTTTCAAATACTTCCCTCTTTTGACTGGAATATCGTATGACAATCCATCTTATTAACTGTATGTTATAAATTTACAGATGACGATATTGATGGTCGCCCTAACGTTTATATTTAAACAAAACTACTTGGAAACTTTTTAACTGCCATGATACCACACCTTAAATCTAGTGACGCAAATGTTGCAAATTCCGAAAAGAGTATTCATTCATTTTAGACATGTGTCCTAGATTAAGCTGTATGTATCGTCAAAACTAACCTTCCAACTAACTGAAAACCTGCGGAGTTATCCGCCAACGTCCACTGAGATTACTTACGATTCTCTTTATCACACGATTTTTCTTGTACCGCATAACCTCGCAAACAGCCGCTTCGGTCGTACACAAATCAACTGTGTGTTACATACCTGAATTAGAGAGGAGATTTCTTCCTTTCCCCGTTTAAAGCTGTCATATTGGAGCGCTTATTTTATTTGTAGTGTAATGACGCAAAGTCCCTTGAACGGTTGGAGAGTGCAAGTTTTCAGTACTAGCGTTCTCAGACTGCTTATATCCCAAGCTTTGCAAAACGTTAAAAGTAAAAGCTTCGTTAAAAGTTTAATTGTCTTTAAATGTGCTGCCGATTTAAAATCACGAACTTGGCCCCAATGTAAATAGTACGTAACCTGGTTGAATTATAGGACTCATTGAGATCCTTGATTCAGTTTTACAGACAAAAAGGTTGACCTAGATAAGACATGCTGGTGATCCCACCGCGAGACAGACATTGGTTTGTACAATCTTTGTTTATATGCGAACTCTGAATTCCCCAGTGGTGAACCCAGACCAATGATTATATCATTATATTTTAGTTATCCAGAATGATTGCGAGATTCACCTAAGAATTCGTCACTCAACAAGCCGGTGAGGGGCCACGTGATTTCTGGAAACTAGTCACACTGTTGCTCAGCTTAAAGGTTCAGTGTTCAGCCGATGGCCGAAAGGTCATGGGTTCGAATCTCTTCGAGCTTCTTGAGATGCGCATTGCTGATGATTCCAAATAAAATAAAACGAATGTGGAGGGCCTTAGTAACAGAACAAAATCCCAATTTTAAATCATCAGATCTCTTCAGAATACCCTAATTATGTCACCTTTTGAAAGCCACACTTCCGAGAACAGAATGCCAGCCGAAAAATGATCAAATTTTGCAGGTTTTCTGTTTGGGTGTCTCATTCAGATGCTCAGGCTCAATCTTGTAATGACGCAGAAGTACATTTTGTGCAGCTATCTGATTGTGCATTCTACCTCCGTTATATGATGTATCAGGCATGACTATCTTGATAGGAGCAGGTTTGTTCAGAACTCCTTTTGCGAGGAAATGCTCGCGACTCAAACATGACTGAAAAGCATTTCCAAGGCTATTTCTAGTCTTGACCAGGATATCAATCGGAATATTAGCATTTGGTAACACATTTTCACACCAGAAGTCATAAAATGCATACAAGAACATACTAACGAGTGTCTGGAGATGGCCAACCTTGGTTATTATCCTTGGTTATTCCCCCGATGCCGACCTTTTTTGAAGCATTTATTACCACATCCAATATTCTGCAGGTGATATTCCGACAAAACTGCCTCCAGAAGGAGGCAAAAACCCTAATGTGGAGCCTATCCTCAATATGTGGTCAGCGCACGGAAATGCGCGTAGAATGCGACAGATCGTTCTGTATCCGTTAATGTTGGTCATATTATTACCGGATATTTCTGGGGAATGCTTGAGCGCGCTGTGCAGCAGACGACATACGCTTTCCAATGTTGTTTTGACCAAGGAAAATTGGTGGTTTCTGTTTTGATTTTAAAAAAAGAGTTTTAAGCTAATCGAGCTATTGAGAGAGGCAAATCTGGTAAGGATACTGTATTTTTAAAACTAAAGCTTGTATGTTTGACAATGATTTTGGGATCTAAAAGAGCACTACGATAAACTAGCTTGAACAAACATCAACATCTCAGCTTCTCGTCATTTTCAGTCTAAAAAATAATCCAAGCATAAACTGTCTTTAGCCTGCAATGGAGATCCAACTGTGTTTGATTACCCATTTTGTGCAGCCCTTACGCAACGCCTGCGGATTTGGAATCATCGGACCACTTTATTCGCCACAAGAAGAAGGACCCACCGAAGCCATGGGTTGTTTGTCTCTTGACAGTAAGCACCATCTTTGACCTTCTGTTGCTGATTGCAATGGCAGTCGTCGTGTTTTTTCTCAAGTAAGTAATCCTGAAATCTTGCGAATAATACTGTAAACTCGCTGCCTATTCATATGCAAGGACTTGCCGGGAAACTAATTCTGTTTTTCTGAAACATAGACTTTATTATCTCAGGTAGCTTCTTATATGAACATCTCCAGTAGAGAAAGCTGACCGTATGAATTTCCGGTTAGAAACAAAGGCTTTCAAATGGACTGGCGAAAACCCAAAATACAAATTGTTATTAATTTACTACGAACTGGTATTCAAAAGCAATTTTGAGCCCAATTTCAATAATTAGCATGACGTTGACTTCAATCATGAGCTGGCGAACCTTCTTCAGAAGTGACTTTTGTAATAACAAGCAAACGTTCAGAATGTCCCACTTACTATTTTGTCACCAAACGGCTATACGTTAACTTTTAATTCAAACAGGCGATTTGGATATGGCTGACGTAATTAAACCAAGGAAGGCAGATCTCCGTAGAATCGTATCCTGACAAACCTATCTGTCAAGAACCAATCAGTTGCAACAAAAGAATGGAACGCCACAGCAGTGGCTTCAGTTACACTTACTGGGCATCCGTTCAAACGGACGACCGTTATTAATTTTTCACAACCAGATTCAGGGAATTACAACTTGCAATTGCCCTCACATATAAAGCATACTGCAACAAAAACCTACTCCCAAACCTTTGCTGACAGATTCCTGCCTAATTATTCAAGACAAAGTTTCTGCGGCTGCTATTCTGCCTTCATAACTTCATTTAGTGATTCCGTCTTTTTACTCACCAATCATAAACACCCGACATGTTTTCCTAACGACTTAATATTCTTGGTTCTGGGGCATATGTAGTCCCATAAAAGTATGCTGCCACACGAAGTCTATGTTGCGGCCAATCAAAAGACAATTTATTGGGCTTAAGACTTTATTCGTTACTCACAAAAAGTTCATTAATTACCGTTTGCATTAGCTTCACATTTACCGGTGCGCACAGCAAATAATGATGGCCATATATTTGGGCAAATACGCTCTTGACGCAAAAGGTATGTAAGAATCCCTGTTAGATTTACAGGATGGATGGCGCTTGACTGTGTCGCCTGCTTGTTTTGGGGAGAATAGTGCAAACAAAACCTAAATACTCATATACGCTATCTTAATCATCATTGATTTATCGTCAATTATTGAACATGAACCCTTAATTTAGGGCCAACTTTTTGCTCATTTTCAGCTGTTCGACTGAAAGCTGGCTCTACTCTGACAGACGAATTTATACCATTTGCACAAACCTGTGAGTTTTTACACCAACTGTTTTCTGATGATGGTCCCGAAGGTTTCAAACATGACCCATGGTACAAAATGACGTAACCAGGTTTACAAACCATGGTATCCACCAGCTGTTAGAAAACGATAAAATAAAGGACAGGTTCCAAGAGGAAAGCGAGACTCCTTGCAGTACTTCATAACATCTGACACCAAAGCTTGCAGTCTGTGCTAAGGTGTCATACAAGTTTTCTGCCATTTGCTGATTTTCCCATCATGACTGTGGTAGAATAGCTCTTGTGCTGCACTTCCATACATTTTTGATAAAGTTTTAGTTTCAGAATGCTTCCCGTACCACTGAATTATTACGTTAATCTGGAGAGATCTAATAGTTGTGGCATGAGTGAGTTTCTTAAAGACCCCCTGAAGGAACGTACTTTTGTTAATCCATGAAGATTACGATGGATTCAACCTGAACTTAACATTTGTCTTCTGGCCACGGCGACTGGGAAAACGTACTTGACGAATGCACATCCAGAACAGGTTAGATGCTGTCTTCTGATAACACCTCACAGGATGAATTTTTTCAAGCTCTTTCGATGTATGTGAGTTTGCAATGAGCTTCGCTGACGTCTTAGCATTTCCATCATTTTTCTTCTGTATCAGCCAACTGGTCTCTGATATAACCGATAATCTTTAGACACTGAGACGCCAGATCTATAAACTACCGTGATTCGTGAAGAATAGCAACCTGTTGCACCGTGCTTTCAAAATTACAAATTGTTTAGTATTACCACGGCTTCGCTGAACTCCGATAAATAGATTGTTTTATGTGGAGTCGGACTACCAATAACACCCATGTCTTATAAGCCTTACGAGTGTACTTACATGTGAGAACGGTAGAACAGCTCAGCGGTCGGATTTGCCGAGTTCAAAACGAATACAAAGAAGAGATAACAAACAGGAATCACAGTGCGATTTAAATTTTGCACCGCTCTACTGAGTAGTCCCATAGAACCAGCGCTCCATCAGAATACTTGCAGTCAGCGATCTTATCAGTAATAGTGACTAGTTTTTAGAACGTCTCCCCAAACACCGTGTGTTTACTAGATAACAGTCTCGTTATAAAACCAGCCACAACTTTGGGACAAATCAAAATGGCAATCAGATAAACCCGAAGATGTTCAGCCCGATGTAACGGAGTAATTATTACAAGATTCCCACTAGTTGAATAGGTGAGGACATGAAAAAAACTAGATAACAGTCTCGTTATAAAACCAGCCACAACTTTGGGACAAATCAAAATGGCAATCAGATAAACCCGAAGATGTTCAGCCCGATGTAACGGAGTAATTATTACAAGATTCCCCACTAGTTGATAGGTGAGGACATGAAAAAAACTGAAAAGCGAATCTGTGGAGAAAGTCCTTTTGGTGTCTAATTAAGCAGTACTGAGAAGATCACCTTTCAGTTTCAGATACTTACTCCTGTATATTTCAAAGTTCAGAACAGGTTACCAATTGTTGAAAAGTTATATGTATATGTATGTATATATGTACATATGTATGTGTACGTTATACGTTATGTATATAGCTATATGGTTTCTGTGAAAATATGCGTAATCTAAAGCCCCAATTATAATACCAACAACCAATATTATTAGAAATCTTGGATTACCCGAGTGATCTAACTCTGGTATTAGACCCAGTTCTATGGGTTTTTTTCTTGATTTGCTCTAGTTCGGATGACCCCCTGTCGAACCTCAATTCCGCAGTGCTCGTACACCAAACTATTGTGCGAATCCTCGTCCAGAGTGCAACACTTCTAAGAGGACATCCTGTTGCAATATTTAAAAGTGTGGGCATCACATGTTCGATCTTAGCAGACGCCATCAATAGAACTGCAAAGCAAGTAGTGTACATGAAATCTTGTCACTAAACATGACTGGGATGGGGAGCTTTTCAACGCCGAATTTATTCAAGTCCACAAGAATCTCACCGAACGGGAAGTGAACCTGCTTATATCGAACTGGACACCAAACTCCCCATCTTTCCAGGTCCCGATACATGTTCTATCATGGAAACATATATTGTCACAATGTTTCGTAAAATCAGCAGTTTGGATTTAGCATTCTGGAATATATGTTTGTATGCGCAGGACTTGGAGATTTTTTCTGTTGCGCGTAGGTTTACCAGGCGGAATTTCATTTGTAGACTTTTACTTTGGAATTTCTATAGAAAAAAATTTCATTCTTGACATACAGATGGACAGATTGGATCCCTCTGCATCATCGAACATTCCGTTGTCCAGCGTTACCACCAGGTTACGACGACTCTAGTCTTGCGAGTGCGAACCCGTTGCTGAAACAATATATTGAACGCTTTCGTCCAACTGTTTACACTACACCTGCTTATGGTTCCCGAACGGACAATTTGGAGCAGCCAAAAAACCCATTTCTAACGGAAACTATTGGAGGACTCTTTCCTCGCCCGGACGTATGGGATGCAGATCTTGGTCTGATGCCGCCACCAAACTTGAATCCAGCCAGAGAGGATCCCATGTACGGCATGACAACTACACGATTGTATGGGCCTACATACGAACGAGAACAAACAAGCTGGTTGCGCAATCGTGAACATTGGCTTAGAATTAACCCGGCCGCGCCATACACATCCATTCCTACCGATTCCATAATACTGGGTTGTACTATTATTCCGCTGATTATGGTATGACTTACAGCCCTGTCAAAGACTCTGACCTATTATCATCAAGTTATCAGTTTTGAGAACGCAATTAAAAATAAATGAAGTTTTCGAATAAGCCAGGAAAATTCATGGACGCTTGCAACCTCTATAACTCTATTTATTATACAGAATACTAATGAAAACCGGCGAGTCTAAACATTGCCCCATATTGTCGCCCGCACCGACCGCCATGAACGAAATTTCTCAAGTATGAAATTCATTCTCTTAGTATGTGGGAGATTTCACTGTTTCTAGTTACTTTCACGAAATACTGACCGGATTTTCTGGAAGAACCCACAAGGAAAATACACACGCCCTCATATTTTGACGCTTTATCCAACAGAATAAAAGCAGCCGGATTAGGTGGGCGCAATTTTTGGATCTAATATTCAAGTGTACGCAGCGATATCTCAGCAATGAAAAACACTGTGATCAGCGTATCCGTAGCGGCACGTTTTATTCGAATATTAAATGCTCTACCTTTTTGACCTCTACCAAAAAAGACTGAACGTGTGAGGCTTTTTGTTAGATCACCACCTAAAAACTCGAACTCAGGGTCCGTATCATTAAGTATATGGAACAGCGTCTTGCAAACATTAAGTTTGCTCAATTAGCCATGACGGATAACATGCAGTCTTTAGAACTTTGTGGTTATTTAATCTGCCCAGAAAATTGTGCATTATATTATGACTTATAAAGTATTCACCGATTAATACTCACGAGGATGTTGTGTTTAGTATGAAAATCACCTGATTTTACCTGGTCTTCAGCCCTCCCGGACTATAATTCAAGGTACAGCTTTGTCAAGAGCGCCGCCGTTCTTATATAAATTTGATTAATATGGGGCTGGTTTGGATCAAATAAATTCATTTATCACTTTTTAAGATTGAACACATGCCGGTTAGTATTGGTGAACTTGAGGTTATCATTCTCCTCAGAGGATTGCCCATGTCATACACCTTAAGATAATTAGATGTGTTTAGTTTTAACGAGACACTTAAAATTCTTTGAACACCAAAAACGCACGTTAGAGAAGCAGAATTTCACAACTAGCAATGGTTCAAACTAACCGCAGCTTCTTCTAAATGCTGGCGGCATGTTAATTGCTCTCCTTCTAGAAACAATCAAACTCTTTACTGCTCGCTGGTTCTCTTGTACCTTCAATGAAAAGGGGATAATCTTCTATAATAAGCACGAAAATGTCTATACCTAGCTTCCAATTACTTATGTCACCTTGCCTACCACACACTGAGTTGGACCGATGGGAAGTTATTATTATTCGTATCTAATTCAGTATTGTGGTAATTTTTCCTCTTATTTCGCAGATTGTCTTTATCGAGATCACATCCTCCTGCCTCAGTTGTTGCTGGCTAAGTAGCGGAAAAGTCGGACATCGATTCGGACAACTCCGGCGTGTGATTGGCCGACTATATCGATTTTGTGGTAGGTCGTTTGCTTTGATATCACTAAATTTCGACCAGAGCCATCTAAACATATTAATTGGGATTCAATGAACAGTAAGCATGGTTAGTGTCTTCTGTACACTTCTAACTGTGTCCTATGGTTGTTAATGATTTAGTTTCCTCCTTGCCTTCTGAAAATAGAAGTCCCATTGATAGTAAGTGAAATTCTCGAAATCAAACACTTGACAAATTAGATCCGCGCACGTCTACCAGTTTGATGTGCCCAATTTTGGATCCGCGGAGTGTCTTATTCCAAGCTTAAATTGATTTAACGCAATGGATACGTATATTTCGAAAATGTTTTCAGATATTTTCGGATATTTTTTAATATTTTCAGATGAACACTGCACAACATGGGTCACATGTTAGCTTAAAGCTGTGAAACCCAATTTCTTTTATCGGAAGATATAGTATTTAAAATTAGTACACAACCGCTGACGTCTTACGCAACAACGCAGCCGTTCTCAGATTATTCGACTGATGGGCCCTACATTCAAAAAGGGCATCCAGTAGCAATATGGCAATAAGGTACTACACGTTTGCTTTGGAATTTCTGTAGCATATAGAGTAAACGTCTACTCGAGTTAACCAGATTACTGGAAACCGACAGATTTTAGCATCTTCCACTGCGAATAACATTGAAATGAGGGCGTACAAAATTAGGCATGGTTTGGAATCCTCCTCGGCTCGGATGAATCTCAGAAGAAAAGCACAAGCACTTACACCTTTGGAGAAAGACCATTCCAGTAGTCTATGATTATGTCCCAAATGGAATGTTACATTGGATTGGGTGAGGATGAAAACACGGCGTCATACCAAAAACGTAGATAATGACCGATTACCTGGTGGACAAAAGAGCCTATTTAAAAAATCAGTAACTGAAACGAGTTTGTTTCAGTGGGTAATACGGTACCAAGCAAAATAAAATGTGAAGAGGATCAGTCAAAGAGAGCTTAGGACACAATGGCTATTGCAAAACTTAAAGTCTGAAATTTAACCCCACTCAACTGGTTGGCTAGTTATTTTATTTTTTTAATAAAAGTGGTCATCAAGCTTGAAACATATGGTACTTTCTTCCGCAATTAAGAAGATTAGCTTCAAGATTTTCATGTCATTAAGATATTTTAGATGATATAGAAATAGTGGACTTGATGTGTGCGCCATAGCTCAGTGATCAACATGGATATGGTCACTGTATAGTCATTGAAACCATATTTTTCCTACGCTCATTGCCATCAATGTCACCAAGTCCATCGCTGACACAATGCGGCTGACTGCATGCAAAAACGTTCAAACGCGGTTTAATGAGATCGTGATAAGACAAAGGAAATTTACTTTTCTTGGTTTCCCAAGTCCTTATCCGGCAAAACATCAGAAATCGCTGTTTGCTTACTTTACATTTGATTTGTCGCCATCTGCTTATACGTTATCACTATATTCTTATGGTACATAAAACGTGAATATCTCCTGGGAACCTAGAGTGAAACCTGTAAGCTTCACTGTTTAAGGAGTTTCGATGGCTCCCGGTTTTTTTACAGCGTTCGAGAAATCGAAAATAGTTGGAAATATTTTATCAACCCATGTCTTGGAGAGCAATTCGCAAGTATTTAAATTCTGTTCATCAAATCCAGGATTGTGTGAAATCAACGAATAGACGCTGGTTTTAATACAACACTGTTTGATGAACTAAATCACAATTGATTCCTGGGTGTGTGTGTAAATGGATCAACCGTTGCCTGATCAACAGCCGACAAAAAGAGCCAGCGTCCAAGGTCAAGACAAGCTGAGTTTTAACCAAAATCTTAATATGCAAGCTAATTCACATCATGAACCTGCGCTTGTCTAACTGCACAGTACCAGCAACGTTCAACAAAGCTATCGGGCAGCCACGATAATTAAAACAAATCCGCTCTCACACCATGACTGCCCATGTTTCCTTGATTATTCTTCCCAGTGACAGCTACCTGTCAAACGTTTGTATTCAAAAGCATGACTGTATGACTGTTCGTTTAACGGATGTAAGACTTCTCTTTTCTTTCGTTGAACAGAAGACAAAATCCATGTGGGCGTAATGGCGTGCAATGATTTTGATGAACCAAATTCTCTGGTTATAATATTTTGTAGAGCGCATGTTTTACTTAAATATAGTGGATTATTGATGGTTCCAAAATATCCGCCTGCATTCCGTTTGAGAACAACTTAAATCACAACAATATGCTAGCAACAGCCTTGTTTCTGAAATGGTCGGATTAATCTATTGGTTGGGTTAGAGATGCTAAAATATGTAATCACTGTAATTTTGGTTTTTAGGTTTAGCAACTACCTAATTAGGTGAAAACAAATGCTTTCAGTCGTCAGCGTTGATGATTTTAATGTGTTTTTGATCATTCATTTGTTTTTTTTTTCCATTTCATCTAGTGACATACATATTCGGGTTGTTCACAGTCATTCTAATAACGTTAATCCTGAAAGCCGCGATTGGTCGTCTTCGACCGAATTTCATCACTATCTGTCGACCGGCACCAAACGTGTGCCCAAGATGGTCTGCTTTGATACAGGCTGCTGGTTATGGCTACTACAATCAAGAAGCGACAAACGACCTAGGATCGAATCCACAGCTGCTCTCATTTCTTGCTCAAGAATCTGCTCGACAGGGCTATATTTTAGTGCCGAAGACCACGACACCGAATCCCGCCGTTAGAACCAGTAAATCGGATTCAGGTTTCCTGTCAGACACCGACTGTACGGAGAAGCGACCACTTCGTATCAAATACGCGAGGTTAGTTTCAAAGCCTCAAGAGAATCAATGCACATATTTTATGTGGTCAACTCGGCATGCACAGAAGAGCCAGTGCTAAAGTTTTTTTCAAACAAATAAGGATAAATCCTGGAGTGGATTCTTGCTTTGGTCAACATTCAAAGCTAAATGCTTTTTTCATTCTCTTCCCATAAACTACATCGTGGTTAGTTATCATCATTCAGCTGGAAGTCGGTATTCGACGGTCGCAAGTGTCACAATGTAATCTCGAGGTTCGCAACAGGCATCAGAATTTTCACATTCGAATTTTGGCTTGACTGTAGGCAGTAAGGTTAGTTTCAAAGTCAGTTTACCCTTTGTCTCAAGGATAAACAGCTGAACACCCTATTCTAACCTGCACAGTTCGTTTTTCAGTCGATGACACTCAATAAGAATGGGGTACCTGTCTGAAACTACTCTGCCGTTTAGCACGGTTCGAACTAATTTGGTGGTTGCTGTTTGCCTTCCTCAGGCTGATGAGTTAGTTAAAAACATTATGTCACCATTCGGGATAATATAGTGAATGTGAAGTAGATTAGCGGTGGATCTTAGTGGTATTGAGTTGTTTATTGTTGGGTAAGACGTTGGCCTGGTTCGTTTTGCAGAACACAGTTCGAAAATTTACGTAAACCGACGCCTGGAATAACCGGGAAATGACCGCATTCCTATACGCAAACATACTCCTATCTGCCTAATTTACTGTCATCTGCATTACCATCTTCTTCTGTGGAACAATTTGAACACTCAAGCCAATAGTTCTCCTTGTCCGTTCTGAACCACGTTCACTGTATTTCCTAGCATGGGAATAAACAACTTTAGACTATTTTTCGTTAATGAAGCAAATCACCTTTTTTCGCCCATTCGAATAAAAGCGAACTCCGTAGAAATACAACTACTAGTGAAACGATCCAACATGTAACTTACGATTGTCTTTGCATTTGCGGCCTATCTAAATAAAGTGACGACTGCAACATCTATGTGGGTTTGAATGAAATATTGTCCATTCGTCAACAACGGAGTTCACTCAGTTCTTCACTGTCAATCATACTTAACGTCATATATCCTGAGCCATTCAGGTGGGAGCATCACGCAACCCCATCCAGAAGACTCTCTGTGGGAGACACATATTGAACGTAAACTTCAGCAACAGAATGTGTTATGGCTACAAATGCACTTAGCCTCGCAGTGTACTCAAAGTTTGAACTTAGTGAACTTTTATGTTTTGAAACAAAAACACACACTCCGTCAACCACCGGCATTATTCTTTCGGCTGTAGTTTTAGCGAGGTTCAAGCCTTACTCGATTGAAATTCACAAAATCAGAATTCGCTCTTATTCGCCGCAGAAATATGGCTGACGCTCAAATGCAATAACACAGTATCAACACAAAACTACTCTTTGGAAACAAAGCACGAAAAGTTGTGTGCACATATTTTTGCTGGGCAATGATTTGTTTTCATGTGCCTGCGTGAAAATGATTGCCAGGCAACATTCTGCGGACCACATACACGTCTATGTTTTCCTACCTTTTCATTTGTAGAACATCGTTTCCTTCACTCGGAGCATCTGTCACAATGTACGCAGCAGTATTTGTTTCTGTAAGTATGTTTTGTCGTTGTCAGTTGACCACACGCCAACTTATAAAAAGAAGTTTAGCGTACTTTTCAAACACGGGAAATCCAAGGCAGTAATGATGAATATGGTTCAGTTATGTAAACTGTCTTTGTCACATTTTGTTGCAATGTTACAGGGTCTAAGAGTAAGTAATACCTGCAATAAAAAGTCGCGGAAATTGGGCAAATTAAGAATAGTATTACCAACAGGGCAGTTTCTCTCATGCACAAAAAACCTCTTCGCCGTGGGTCTCGAACCAGACTGTTCTGCAAGCGTATCTAATGGCTATTCATTTACATAGGAGAGTGAGGATCTAATAACAAAATCCTGAAAGCAGCATGCCACTTGAGTTTTCCTTAGATACTTGACTCTGATTACTTCTGATTACTCATAGAATACCTTGAACGGTAGCCATTTAAAGCCAGGTGAGGCTAAACCTGAAATTGTCCTGCTGTTCAGTCTAAATACGACAGTTGTCCAGAGCGCAATCTAAACCTTTGTGTTCATCTGAATTATGGCAACCAAACATGCAATCCTGCTCATGTCAAAGCAATGCACAATGTCCGTAAACTCATCAGCTAGCACTGCTATTTTACCGGCGTGTCATACGCATAAAATCAAAGAAGGCTCCAGTAGCAGTAAGCTACACAATGGTACGACCATTTTGAACTTATTTACTCAGGCAACGATGAAGAACTCAAATAACGGGCCCGCATGAACGTCGATCGACAGCAACTTTGAAAGCCGTTCCGGTGACTCAATACAGGGTACAATAGATGAATTTCAGTGTAGAATGGTTTTCCATTATTTTTTAACCTAAACGCCATTGTAGTCGGAGAAGGCGTGGGATTTTCCTGGGAAAGGTCACAGTGAAAAAGCCTGAACTACCAACGAATGGCACACAGAATTGCCTGGCCTGAATTAGTCAAGTGAAGAAATGCAATGCGTCATCAATGTCGATGGCAAACCACAACTCTATGGGTGTCACTTTTAGTGAATTATTCTTGACACTGTTGTTTCCTAGACATTGCTGATAATATGAGGGAGTCGGACGTTTTGTCGCTGAATGTTATTGGAACAATCAGAAGCAGAAATGAAATCATTGCCACTATGCAACACGAGTATTTCCGCTTGATTTCCTTGGGGGGTAATTTGAAACTCAGGACCAATGATTTTTCGAGCTGGAAAAATAATATGAAATATGCGTTTTTGGGTTTTCATTCCAACTTTAACCAGGTCTGGAGTATTTCCGATACCAGATTTCGGAATATGATGTAACTCGCAAGGCCAGTAACGATGCAGTAGACATGTTACATGCGCATATAATTTTAATGCCTTATTTATATTGTTAGCCACACTCAAGCAGATGGCTAACTCGACTGGCCAGAGTATTTTGGTGCGGAAAGCGTAGCACTGTAGAGAATACTGTATCTCAAAAATTATCTCCGGATGAAAATGTCAAGTTATTCAGGTACTGCATTTAATACTGGAACGGGATTGTTGTAGCCGTTGAAAAAGACACATGGTTTATGCTGGATTCTCAAGCAATAACGAAGGAAATCATGCTTTAGAAGTTGCAAAAATAAACGATCATATGGTTAAGATGATTGTCTCTAAGGGGCAAGGGGACTACTGCGCACACAAATCATTGGGTATCAGAATGAGCACCGTCTATTTCCTCATCATAATTGCTTGTGAAAATTGGATTTTTACGACATTATTCCAATTTAATCTGCTCTGCACTTCAACCGACCTTCAGCGGACAATTCCACGGTTTTGACTTTCAGGCGTATGTCACCCACACCCTGCGCTATCTACGAAGAACTTGCTTATGCATACCATTGGTCCTGCTCCTCGCAACGTTCTTGGCGAATATCTTGCTTGGTCTTGGCCGAGTAGTGCACCGAGAAAACTGGATAGATGACGTTCTTGCAGGATGGGCGCTTGGAATTATCGTTGCTGCCTACATCGTAAGCCATCTAATTTCAGTACTACTTTTCCAGACATCAGTAGGGAGAAATTATGTTTCTCATTTACAAACAGTAGGCCTTCACAACTGTTTCCACAATATGGAGTCTTATAAAGTGACTGAAAAATATGCTTCATTTCAGGAGAGTTTGGCAAGCATTTAGGGGTTCTATAAATGGGTAAGGTCTTGCTTTTGATACAAAAGCTTCGCCTGAGCAGGTGAGTGTTAGAAAAATGGCTGAATTAAAAGGACCATGGGGATTCTTGTCCCCCTGTGTATCATGTAATTTGTTTGTTATATTAGGCAAACCATCCGAATCAGTGCAACCATTACTCGTCTTTTTCTGCCTTGCTACATCTTTATTGTGTTCCTACCGTGGTCAGCTATGCTAAAAAATTTTGATCTTTCTTGATTTTCTTGTTTCTCTTGCGTTGCCAAACTAAAGATGTTTGAGGAGTACAGGATAGAAGTTTGAGAGTGGAATAAGCACAGTGGGAATGCTTCTTGGACCAAAATGGATGTATTTTTGTCATAGCTAACAAGGATTGCGCTATCAAAATTAATAACGACTATGAAGGGTTTCGACCGTTCCCAAAATTAAAACATTCTAGTGAACTTAGATCGTTAAAGAACAATGGACTGAAAATTTGTTCGTCAAAACATCTCAAGTTTTGCAATACAAAAATCTTTTGCCAAATGATATGGAAATTTGTGGTCTGGGTTTTCAGTGCCCTTCATCCGTCACTTTAGCTCTACCGAACTCTTCATGCAACACAAACTTGGAACAGCGTTTCAAATGCAGATATACTGCATCAGCTGGATCACATACAAGACCTTATTCGGGCAAATCAGGAGTACAAAAACAATGAAGTAAGTTAGGTGGAAACTTGTGACACGCATTACTATGAATATGTGTGCATTTTATTTTTATCAGTTTGGTTTGCAAAATAAGAATCATTGGTAAACCTTCGGTTCGCCAATTACACTCATATAAACAGAACACTAGATTCGTATGTTTTTGGCAACGTGATAATAATAAGAGCATTGCTGTCGATGGCAGGTTAATGACAGGCTTCGAGTACTATCTAGTGTTGGTCAGGAAATACGATGAGGCAACAAAGGAACCTTAACAAGTAAGCACTCGGGGTTAGCATATCCTCAACAGTTGAAATCTAGTCTTTTAATTGAATGACTGTTTCGTTCGGCTACAAGGCATGAACGAAAGAGTAGATAAGCTAGTCCCGGTTAAGACGGATAACGCTTTCAACCATATGTTCCATCGGTGACGCATAAATTGGATTCTTGCGTGGGCTGCTTACCAGCTATCCGCGAGGACGTTCTGCAGTTAGGTGCGGCATAACAAGTCAGACTCCGAATAGTTCAAGTCTCTGAAAGTCTGTAAGGAGCACTGTCGTGCACAAAAGATGCAATAGATGAAAACAGTGTCCGTTTCGGAAGACAATTTGCAGTTTTTCAATGTTTCTATTTTCGAATGTGGTTTGCTCTTTACTACAAGGACAATTAGGTTTCGGACTTAATGTAGATGTTTATCTTGTTATTTTGTGGCATTTACCAACTGGTACTTTACGAGCCTTTGTACCAGAAATGTACAGAAACTGTTATCTTTGTGAGCAGAAAGATAACTAGTTAAAATATGCTGCGGAAGTAGTATTGCAAACTGGGGTTGTACTATTTCCAAGAGATAGCTGACGAACAGTATTTTCTAAGCACTCAAATTTTAGTATACTGTTGAATTCAATTCTGTTGCTGTCATAAAGTGCGATACATCAGAACAGAACATCCAAATCTATAAGCAACGCAATTACTGAAAATTAGCCATCTATCCACTCTACGTTTGCATTCCCCCAAATTTTTGTTGTGAAAGAAAGTGGGGTCTGTAGTTTAGTTGTGCGTTCTGCACCCACGACCAACGTATTAAACACTTCTTCTGGTTGTGAATTGCATCATTAAATTCATATTTGTCACTCTTTTTGCGAAGAAATATCTGGCTATTTTTGACATTAAGTTGCTTCGGTTTATCCCCCGCGGCTTTAAGTGATACAGTGGCCATTTCCCAGATAATATCTTTCCTTTCTTATGACTATTTTCGCATTCCAGATGAAACTGATGAAATATTTATGAATATGCTACAGTTTGTGAGTTCTGTGTTTTGTACAAACACATAGAATTGTGGGTTATATTGATTTTTTGCAGGCCCATAAAACAAAGTCGCAAATGAATTTTAGTAGCTTTAGCGTAGCTTTAGAGTAAGATTATCTATGGCAACAGCTTAGCCACACTGTATATTACAGCTCTTTTGAAGCTAATATACATTATATCTTTGACTTTCCAAACTCCAAAGAAATGTCAGCAAGTCAAATTTGCCTGCATTCCTTCAGTGATTGCACTCATATGACGAATTTCAACTTAGTCATTTGCAATCAACCAATGGTCGCTGGGAAAACAAGCAAGATAAAAAACAGCCTGCGTACCATCGCTCATCACTAAGGATAAATAATCACGCTTAGCTGCCCCGTATGCGTGCAGCCTCAGCACCAATAAGCTACGTTTCCTGAGGTGTTGGAGAACGGTGTTTACGCTCCAAATATTCTGCTTACATTCAGTTTCAGCCACAAACCAGGCGGAATTAAACAATTCAAATACATTGATTTTTTATGTTGACCTGCATTAATTATCATTGCGACTGATAAGTGTTCAGTCAGATCATATTACATATTAGCATGTGCTTCTTAGTTTACTGACTGTGCAGATTTTATATATTTAAGCCTTATCACAGGGGCCAGAACTCAATTTTTTTGGATGACTTTCCATCCTAAATCTAACGTTTATCACCTCTCCACTTAGCTTCCCAGTCTTTATTGGCCGTAAACTTGATATATATTGAAATGAAGCAAGAATCGTCCATCGGGACAATGAAACAACTAAACCAGTTCTCTTTTGCAGCCATAGTTACCACTTTCATAATGCACTTCCCTCTTTTCCAGATTAAAGACAATGAAAACCTTTTAGCTCACTGAAAGACGTGTTAGGACACTTTCTGTATTCGATACCCCATTGTACGCAAATGAAATTGTTTATTTTATATCTGTACAGTAGTTATAGAGTTCCTTTGTTCACACGTATCCACGAACAGGTTATTCGTTTTATTGATAGCCAATCCAGCTGGCCTGCCGTCAGTTTTATGAACAACGAAGTACTGATGAACCGAGCTTTTTTCTTCGACCGTACCCCAAACGTCGTTAACATCTCTCAAAAAAACCTTTAACGCAACCACTGTGAAAACCTTTTTACCAGTATGTCGGACGTTTTACATGTTTTGCACGCAATTTTATGTTCCTGGTTAATTTTTGAGTTTAAATAAGTAAAATGTTTTTTTGCACTTCTTCGTATTTTATTCTTCTTTCCGCATGTATCGTATGGGAACCGAGAGAGCAAAGGCAACCAGACAGACTACTGAACAGTTGTAGTAGCTTTTGTCTTCCACAATATCAATTCAAAATATCTCCAGTCTGTATTCAGAACCTTCCGTGCAACCTTTCAGCTAATAAGCCAGTTCGTAGAATGATCTCCTGTGACCAAATCAGAATGAATATATGCTGATATTTTCAGATTCAGGTTATGTTGCTCCTAGCGAGCCTCGTATCCTCCAGCTGCAGGAATTTTCTATTGAAAACAACTAACACCTAATCTGGTATGATGAAAAAGGCTTTACGAATAGCATCTCAACAAAGCAACATAAAGAAGACAACAGACGGTCAAAGTCTTCAAACGCTGAAACCACTGTTTTCTTTAACATAATTCAGCAAAAGATGCTTCAAAATTGTGAAGCCAAATAGGTTGGTTTAAAAGCTACGGTTGCGTTCCACCGTTGTTTCGCTAATTTGATGACAGTGCCGATGGAACCTATCCTCCATATGACGCGTTTAGGGGACTGGATTTTGTTTCTGTGGTACCAGATTTTTGGTCCGCTATGCGTTGGATGGCATGCTCTTTTGGTGTCCAGAAAATAGGTTTTGTAAAAGTGGCAGTCTTCATCAGCAAAACTTTTTTAAATCACCAAACACTATGCGTGGCTATATTGTTGAAAAAAGCATGGTAAGTTTATCTCTTAGCTTGGTCAAATTTAAATCCAAACTGATGCTTGAATATATGCATAGATTTAAGCTTAGAGGACCTTGTGTTTCTTGGATCAAGTGCATCACTTCTTTAAAAGTAGCTTTACCACGATTCACCGTGCAGTGACAAAACGGAGGCCTGAGAAGGCAAGCGGAAACATCATATAGTAATAGGCATTTAAAAAGGGTACGTGAGGAGACGTTCAACGATGCAGAGTGAATAAAAATTGACCAATTAAGTCATTGATTTCCAAGTTCTTACCCGGCCATTATTTCTTGGTACGTGTCAGGTAGCTGCGTGACATAATTGTGTTTGTATCCTAGTTTTCCATGGATAAATCGGATTTCATGTTTGGATTCGTGATCGATTGTTCCTTGTGTCTCCAAATTATATGCACTGTCCATGGTCGTTTGGCCATCATCTCTTCGGTCTCTTATTTACAAGCTTTCCTGTCTCTGCTCGAAGTGTTTCAATCGCAATAGCAATCTGACTGTCTTCGTTGCGTTGGCATTACGCCGCATACCCGTCAGCTCACCTGTTTTTGCGTAAAAACACCAAGCTCAATGAGGCCTTTTTTTCAGATTTGGTCGCACTCGACATTTTGTATATTTACATAATGCCAGCTCCTGGTTCCAGATTTCCGCGTGCCAGTCATACAACTACCGTATTTTCATTAAAATTATTGTGCGCTATCACATTATCATTCCTGGGCATTAAGGAAATACATACATATGAATGTATTACTTTTTATCTGCTCCGCGCTTAGGTAAATAGTGCTTCTACCTGTTGCGCTAGGCGGTCGACTGACAACCACGTTCATATGGAAGAATTAAACATGTCCGTGTTTTGACCAGCCAAAATTACACTGAGGTCTCGGTGGTGATGACTTCTGAAATTGCTTTATCGAAAACATACGTATTCAACCTCTGATGTAACATACAGCAAAAAAACGGAAAAATAGTCACACTATAAATGGGCAGTCGCCGGTCTCATTTTTATAAATCAGTTGATTTGCGCTTTTTCGTTCAGTAATACAAAGCCATTATTCACTGGTGCATTTGTATGGATTGAGATGGATTCAGCTACCTGGGCTCATAAAAATGCGTACACGACGACAAAGCTTTTCACCCTCCTTGCTCGATTCTTTAATTCACCTTCAGAAAGTTGTGCAAGAAACTGTTAGAGGAGGACCATACCAATGGTTCCAAGACCCCACATGAACACGTTGGATCTATCTGACTAATTTCCAGAAATCATACAGCAGCATAAAATATGTGGCTGTCAAATCTCCTGCAATTATTATAACAGGGTTTGTTTGCTTCACAGAGAGCACACTTAGAGCAACACTCGGAAAACTAGTTACCAAAACCGCCGCCACACAACGCCTCTTTGTTAACACCGAGGGCCACATTTTCGAGGTATATATTGCTCGTAAGTACACTGGTCCGACTGCTTTGCGTAGAATGGCAGTGTGAATTCCCTCCTTCCTAATAGCGCTGCTTTTGTTTCAAGAATGACTGGATAGTGAAGAAAAACATTTGGATCCAAAGGAGACAGATTTTTGAAGCAACAAACTAAAACTATTTTTTTCTCCACAGTCACCCTGCGGATGGTGTTGGTCGGTTTTGAGAACTGGATTACTAGTTTGCCTTAGTCGATTTTTTGAGCCGTTAACTCACAGACCGGAAGAAGGCCTGTGTTCGTATATATTGGGCAACTGGTTGTCGTACCACTCATTGCTGGTCCTGAGCAAGAACTCGCACATTTCAAACAGGCGTTCCTTCTGCTTAAAATCTCTTAATAAGAACTATGTTTCTAAGAGTCCTTACCATTAAAAAGGAGTCCAGATTTTTGTGCATTTCATAGGTGCATTCACTGCGGAGCTGTGGAGCCGAGAATAATTCCCAACGGACGTGGGGTCATAACACTAGTTAGTACAATCTCAACTGTTTTTCACCTTAAACAACGACAACTCAGAGGTGTGATTGGAACATTTTTATTTTCATCACTTATGTGTTACGACACCCGTTTGACAGTCTATCTAATTTCTCTTTAGCACAGCACAAACCGTATCTTTTCCCGCACACTTGACGTTGCTGACAAAAATCGTCGGTACGTTATGGAATCATCAAATTCTTTTCTTTGGCGTTATAAACGACTATATTGCGCTCAGAAGACCATTTGAAAGCTGAATCGTCAAGTTAAGCAGTAATCAAATATGGAAATTTGGTAATTTCGGAAGGCTAAAAGTAAGACTCGTGCAGTTTGTTAGATCTCTTCTGAAAAATCCTGGGATGGAAATTGGGCGTTGCTGTTCCACACCTTGTGGTAATCAAGTATGGTAATCATTTATATATGGATATAATTTATAGTCTTGACCCAAAACAAGAAGCTGAACAGGTGAGCTTATGGAAAAAATTAAAGGGTAGGAAGGAATATATTGAGGCATAACTGATCCCTGTGTAAACTGACTTACTATCGCACCTTATCTTACCAAAACATCTCAGGCCTTAACGTGCTGAACCCGGAATAGGCGGCCTGATCCCACGATGATTGAGATCCCCATAAGTGAACGTGATTTTCAGCCAACTAACACATAATTAGATGGAAACCCTGAACAAAACTAAATATGACTTAAGTGGGTTAGGTAATTTCATCTCGATCAGCTGACATGCAAACCAGAGGGTCGCGGTCCCAATCCACATTTGATTGGGTTCGCAAGTAAGAGAGACGACACATCCGCCAAGCGTCAACTTCACCTGGCTGATGTACATCGTGTGAAGATCTAAAAGCTAGAGTATGGCGTGCCGTCATTTGTGAAATTATTGATGCACAAGGAAATAGGGACCAGCTAGGTGTGTTGGAGAAGAAAGCGATGTATGGAAAAAATTAAAGGGTAGGAAGGAATATATTGAGGCATAACTGATCCCTGTGTAAACTGACTTACTATCGCACCTTATCTTACCAAAACATCTCAGGCCTTAACGTGCTGAACCCGGAATAGGCGGCCTGATCCCACGATGATTGAGATCCCCATAAGTGAACGTGATTTTCAGCCAACTAACACATAATTAGATGGAAACCCTGAACAAAACTAAATATGACTTAAGTGGGTTAGGTAATTTCATCTCGATCAGCTGACATGCAAACCAGAGGGTCGCGGTCCCAATCCACATTTGATTGGGTTCGCAAGTAAGAGAGACGACACATCCGCCAAGCGTCAACTTCACCTGGCTGATGTACATCGTGTGAAGATCTAAAAGCTGGAGTATGGCGTGCCGTCATTTGTGAAATTATTGATGCACAAGGAAATAGGGACCAGCTAGGTGTGTTGGAGAAGAAAGCGATGTAGAGTATGCAGTGGCAGCAACATGTTACATGTAAATAGGATCAGCATTTAGAAATGCTGATTTGGTCCAAAATCTACTAGTCGATTATTGAGATACTTTAGTGTTCAGTGGAAAGTTCATGTAATAAAAATCAATTAACAACTTTCACTTATTTTTACAGAGATTCAGGAACAATCGAGCGATTGCAGTTGACGACCAGATGACCCAAAAAAATCTAGATAAGCACTCCCGGGGTTGAACCCTGGATTCGAGCAACAGGCAAAGAGTAAGAAACAGGCTTCGGGATGATTTTCTCTACACTAATAGAAAACCAGTAACTTTTCTAAAGAAAGTAAGATTTTCCGGAAATGAACCCAGACTTTTCTCAAATGAGTTCTGTGGTTAGATTTAGGAGGACTGGCTAGCGGTTTTAAGCCACCAATATACAGCTAGCCTCGACCTAACCTGGTCCGCTGCGTGGAGTGAGAAAGGTACCATCAAGTGTGTATACATACGAACCCTTTGTGCATACCTGAGCAGAAATTTGTTCATCCCAAAGGTTTTCAATAAGAACCTCGCCACAGAAGACGAACACAGACGTCTGTGATGTCTTCCTCTGTCGTTCTGATGAACATTCATTACTGTAACGTGATTATATGACGCGTAATACAGCTAACTTCACAGCATATATTATATCCAAAGTAGAATTCATTTGGGAGCAAAGATCTCTACGTGAAGCGTCACGCTGTTCTGTTCGTGCGTCCGACCAAATGTAAGAAACGTAAAATAAGTTGAATTATCAAGACACCAGGGATCTCAGTCACCTTAGAATTCAGGTGTCATTCCAAATACACCTGGTATACCTAGGGTCATGTTCGACTAAGCTGCCCATCACAAAAATCACTCCATGAATAGAAGGTTTTCGCTAGACCCAGAATTGATAAGACAACGGATTGGTGCCCGCACTTGAAAGACCCTCCAAATGGCTAAAAGAGATTATTTTTTTCTCAACTATATGTGCCAGGTAAAGATGAATGGATGGTAATTACCTCTGATGGAAAATTGATAAAGAGGATGACCACGTGGAACATAAAAGATCGCGAGTCATTGCATTATCGCCACATATTTATGCATCCGCGCTGCTCACCCGGTCAGAAGAACATCTAAGAGTCATAGTGATTTTGCTTCGATAACTAATCTGGTCATGCGCGGTAGTTCATACATCGATGACAGTCCCGTCCCAATAGATTATATAGGCGTCACCTGGTACACAATGCTGAAGTCACGTGAACCACTCGATTGCGAAAAATTCATGCCTGAAAAGTACTCATCCAGCAAACCAAAATCACTCGGTCAAATGAATATACACGAACCAAAAGTATTGTAGGCAGAAGGCACACGACAATAGGTACCTTGCGCCAAAAGTTATGTTTTGACGAGAGCATGCTATTTCTAGGTGTTGTCTTAGGATAACCACGAAATTGGTAGAGAGAATTACCATTTGGGTTACAGGGTCTTGTCAGTTAATAAGCACCACTAGGTATTGTGTGGCTTGGTTTAAAATGTGACCTATCGTAACAGTGAGATAACTGGGCTGTGAATCCGGTCATAATCCTACACCTTCTCGTTTCTGAAGTTGCAATAAACGACGATACGCACATATTTTCAGGTGATTCCGGGTTCGGCTGGAGTGTAGCTGGCGGCTAATTAGTGTCAGTGACCTTCGTGCTGTCAGTTACTTTTCAGATTGTCTGACTGAGTGCTTTGAGGTGTAGGCACCTCGGAATGCTTGCAATATGCCATCACCGGGTTCCCTCCCTCCCCGATTGTTTCTCTCTACTTTGCATTCTAACTCTAAATATAATTAAATGAACTTTATAGTTGCATGACAGTGAAGCAATACTGGTATCGCTGTCTCTAATGCTGACGATGATTATGATGATAAAGTTAGAAGAGTAAGCCCTAGTGTTTGATGAATCTAGCTCTCGTGATACATTGTCGAATAAGCCAGCATAAGAAGACTGCAAAGGACTAGATAAATTCTGCGTAACACAACTTTCAAAACATTCGAGTGGTCGATGAGACATCATATTGGATCTCCGTGGCTGCATGAGGCCACCCGCGACAGTTCGGTCAGTGCATTACCAAGGGGAACATGGTAGGGCTGGCAGGTGTAGGGAAATCTTATAATTTTACTCAAGTCCATATACTCAGAGAAAGCCTTGAGTTTTTCGGGCTCCAGAGTTTAGAAGCGGTGCTGTGATTACTCAGTTATTTGTGGTTTCTGGTGTCTTTTGTCCGCTAAAATGCCTAGGTCCCCTACTGCCAAGTTTCAGTCATTCAACATTCTCTGGCACTCGATACTGTTTTTGTTATTCGACCTAACAGCTGCGTAGCTGAACGGACCTCATTGGACAATCATAATTCCTTAACTGAAATTTCATACCCTCACCGATCACTAATTCGTATGGCAGTGGCTTTGATTTAATAGCCAGATTACTTTTTCTCTCTATTTTCAGCAGACATTTCCCAAGTCTCATTTTCTATTTTTTCTATTCACCTTACCCCTAATCTAATTTTCGGATGTATCTATCCTCCTTGCTAAATTCTTGACCGGGTTACACATAAACGGAAAAAAAAACTTGGTCATGTAAATAATTTTCATTCAGTGAAGCACAAAGTCTACCGCGTCACTCAGACCGTCTTATTAATTCACACACTAAGCAAAGAAAGTCCTGGATACTGTGGATTAGCTGTAGGGGGCTTCAATTTAGTTAATCGGAATCGCGAACTTCATACCCTGTATGTTGTGAACTCCCTGGGGCACATCGGTGGGTGCCATGGACTGTTTTGTGCTTGATGTCGTAACTATTAATGTGTTCTTAGAGTGCGAATGTGGGCAAAAGAAAACGTGAGTATCAATCCTAACGGTAAATCCAATATAAAACATAATGATCATATCAACTGCCTATCGAAAACTACTCAGTCTCTAGTTACAATTCATATGGCCCTATAGTTCGCCTTGTAACCTTATCCCTGAGATTTAACTTCTTAAATGAGCAGTTTACGATAACAGCTTTTATAGCAACAAGTAACCAGCCCTGAGTCCATACGCCAGGTGACCATCAGCGTGGTGATACCGAGATACATTCGATTACTTTTGGATACCATACAAACTGAATGAACTGGCAGACTACGCGTGGTTTTGGACGTATAGGTGTATATGTGTTCGCAGTGCCACACGAGGAGACCCGAATATATATACGGGGACGGCTACAAACCCATGTAAAATAAACGGCTCCAGCATAAATGTGCCAATAGTAGACAAAAGGTAATATTGTGCTTCCCATCTCTGCTAACTGAACTCGATCCCTGGAAGGCCATATGAAGCTAATATTATAGAAAAAATTATGATTCTCACAACTAAGCTGGCTGACGTGACCCACACGAACTAAAACGCAAACGGTTGCAATTTTATACTCCCTTTTGCTGGTACAGTACTGGTGGAAGATGTGCAAAGTAATCAGGGTACTCGTTTTCTTCGTTCCGAAACATAGGAACTTCATAGATGAACACAGACCATTTGTTTTATCAATCTTTTCGACCAGCTGATTTCTTCAAGAGTCAAGTTTTTAGACAACTGAAAAAAGTCAAGCTGAGCAAAGTGAAAAAAAGTTCAAAAAACAACTTTAACAGAGGTTGTATCCATCCACCAAACGGGACATTTCGTTTGTTCATTAATTTCCGTAAACATTAACACAAATCCGTAGTGATAGGTTGTAATCGTCTACCAACATATAAATCATAATAGAAAGGCAAGTATGCTACGAACCGCGAACTATGTTGGGTAAGGCAATATCTGGGTAGATATCGGCGGTTAAAGAGGAAGTCCCTGAATGAACCTAGTAAGAATATGGAAAGCTTGAACAGGTTTGTCATGGGGCACCATATGTCCAGACCCACGAACTGTAACATACCATAACGGTGTGTCGTTATGATAGAGAACCTTCTGGACGCCACCAACTTGCGTCGTCCCATCATTTTCAAAATAAAGCCATTGCTTCAACGGTTCTGGCATCTAGGAAGTAAGGATAATAGCAATGTTATTTGAAATGGATAATGAGGTTGCTAACAAACTTAAAGCCTCAATGTGACTTCATCATTTCAGTCAATAAGACTGGCTTACCTTCAGCCCAAGATCCTCAACAAACCAGAGATGTTCAAGAAAAGTGCAGTCACCATCAACATCTCCAACGTATAGAAGTGTGCGAACCTTAAGTATTGGGAGGAAAACATGAGCGTTAGGGTGATACTCGCCCGATGAAGACATACATACAAGTGCCTGTGGCACAAAAAACCTACACTGGAAGGACAGCGACTTAGCTACTTCGCCAGTTATTCCAATAAATCAGCTGATAAACATGTTATCAAGTCTAGCTCCGAATAATCATTGGTTATGCATTCTTCCAGTAAAATACATTACCCAAACCATCAACTTCTCCATAAAATTAGTCCGCCGTGGGATTAAACGGTTTACCATTTTCCTCAACCTTAAACCACCGACTGTGTATACTCTACTGATGTGGATTTTTAGGCTAAGCGTACTTAATGTGTAATCCACGTCTAACAATTAACTCCACCTATGTTGCTAGTTCTCTGGGATTCTTGGTTAGTAAAACCACACGTGACGACGATATCGTTCAATAATAAGCACCCCAAAATACCGCATCAGTGTCATACACTTATTTGATAAAAACTGAGTGCAGTTTGAGTAGGACGATTAGATCCCCAAACCCCAACCGAGCATCCATTAATAGCATGTGCCAAATTGAGGTCCGCCACAGTCGCCTAAACCATAATCTCAATGAGATCCAGGTATCAGTTCACTATGTGTTTTTCTCAAAACAGCACAAGCTGAAGTTTGATTAGTGCAGCGGTGTGAAGCCCCATGGTAGCTGAAACTATGACAGATTTCAACGCATTCACGGATTTCCACTTTCTGACTAAAGCTCTTCTACATAACAATGTACATAGCGTTGAACCTGCTCGATTATATACGAGTCTTATTGCCAAGGCGATTGCATATGCATGATGTGGTATTCAGTTTTGTCTCAAAAAGAGAATAAGAAGCGAATAGGATTTTGGAGGGAACCAAAACAGTCTAATAACCTGCAACAACAACTAGGTCTCTCGCTAAAAAAGGGGTGGAGATCGTTGAAGTTAACATGAATTTGCTTTAAGTAAACAAAATTGCATGGATGGAGAATATTTGTTGGTTTATTACGTTTTTGTTAACAGCAGCCTCAAGTGAATTTCTCACAAAACGCTAGTTTTGAACGCGATCAAAATCTGACAAAAACCCAACTCGTTCTGTAACGACAAAAAATCTGATAGGGCAAGTATAAAGAAGGTCCTTCTGATGTCTGAAAGCTATTCACTTGATACACCTTCGGCGCATGCTCGAAAATTCACTTAAAAGTGAAGGAGAAGCGTCCTTTAAATTAATTATAGCTGTTGTTAGACGTAACGTTGATAAACGTGCGACATATGGAATACTACAACGCTACAGGCATTGGCATTATGGCTCACGAATAAAAGTGCTTTGTACTCGCAGTCTCGCAGGAGAAAATAAGTATACGCAAGTGATAAGTTTGTACTCATTCAGTCATAGTGAAATAATAACTTTAAAATTTTGACACGAGGTTGCAAACAGTGGGGGTCTTAAACACTTAATGGACCAAAAAAACGTATAAAGAATGACTCGCAAAACAAGTGATTTTGCAACAGTAAGGTATTGACCCGCTAATCAAGTGCTACGAAGCACTTACTTTGTTTTCAAGGATATTCAAGTACTGCGGTTGTAACGCCTTGTGTATATGTCCGTAAGTATCCATCACGAATTGATTGCAAGTGTCCCAGAAGGGCACTTCAATAAGATCCACATGCAGTGCTTGTCTGACCTTAGGATTGTTGAAGTAAACCAGAAGATTTGTATCATCAATGCAGGAGGCTACAAACCGGCTGCTCAACTGCCTGATGTCGGGATGTAGTGTAGAAAAAGTTGACATAGTCAACAAAGATAATAATTAAAGGCTGCTTCAAAGAACGGTTCAGATTTTGCGCCCCATAATAGTGCATCTGTAATAACTTATTTAGGAGTTTCTGTTGAAATTCCTGGCCTAAAATTTTGGCACCATTGTTTGGAAAGTCTTTGTAACAAAACTGTTACCAAAGCTCTAAAATTCTAGAAGTAGCAGTTCGGTTCGAGAAATCGGATATCTGTAGGCATGCCAGTTAACATACCTCGAATTAGTTTAGATATTTACAGCACCGTCTAGTGGTGAACACTGGATAATAGATTAAACAAGAAGGTAAACTGCACACACGGTGCACACCTAAAGGTAGACTTAGACAACTAAGTCTTGCTGGATTATATAGATCAGCAAGAAGATTGCTGCTCACAGTAGAATTCACATTCAAAATTGAGTTGAAACGTGCTATTCCGATAAATTCCCTTATTCTCAAAAACGTATGTTTTGATTGTTGAGTCGAAACTACTTTCTTGTAGCAAATGACTAAACAAAGGACGCCGGTCGGAGATAAAAAGTTAGTAGAATTCGTTTGTTTTGGTTTATTAAACAACTTCTGATATAGTTATGAAGCAGTGAAATACAATTTGCGATAGTTGTGCACGCTTTTGCTTGCCTGGGATAGCAAGCGTGGTTCACCTGTAAGCAATTTTGCTGACGGAGAAATGTCTGTAAGCTGTTCATAAATCCATCGATTTTACTTAATTAGCTTTCTTTGCGGATGAATTACACTGCCGCACACTATAGAGGCAAAAATGAAGGAGGTTTATTGTAAGCAATATTTGAGGCCAAAAAAAATATCTCGACACCTGCTTGCTGTCTGAAGCATGCGGCAGTCTTTGTCCAAAAAACATTCAGTCAACCTTGTTAAAGTGTATGCTCATCATAAATGGAACCTCTTCTGATTTGTGATTATAAGGGGAGTGCTCATTTAAGGTTTCTAAGTGATCAGATTCTGTTAAATTTGTGCAGCACCCAGTGCAAATGAAAACGAGAGAAGCGACCAATAGTCCCTATAACCAAAGCACAAACTGAAAGTCACGTAATGTAAACGATATTTTAGACGCGGGCAAAGATTATCTGTCGGCCTTATAATGTTCACTAATTTGTAGCATTCACGCCTTTTGAAACCTTTGGGCATGAAACACATCTGGCCTTTTAGTCAAGCGATGAATATAGAGTATCGATTTTGGGTTCCCACAAATCACCCGTTGTTAGAACAAATTCAGAGCAAGCATGTCTTTGACCAATCATGATTACGACAGCTGTTTCAAACTTGACCCTAAAGTTTAGGTTTTACTCAATACAAACCATTCTGTAGGGGGTAAGAATTAGATACAACAGAAATTATGAAACTATCCATTCAAAGTACGCTATTAATGAAGTGGGCCTGGAAGTGACTAATACCACTAATGGTAACGAATATGAATATGCCCATAAGCGTAAGTAGGTGCCATGGTGATGGGCCGGTCTGTGTAGTTTTGCGTCCTTGTTAAATAAAATTTAGTACATTGGCAAATATTTGAGTGTAACCCCCGTGAGATTTGGTCATTTACACTTTGACAATAAAATCACCTAGCACCGGTTTCACCTTCACAGAATGGATTATTAGTCGGATTAGAAGTTATCACTACGTCTATGGCAGAAAAAATTTTTGATACGTCAAACCGGGAGATCAGGACAGTTAGCAAGGTAATATCCACTAAGCTATTACCATGGCCACTATGTCAGCTGTACTGTTTTACGGCTGATTTGACGACAGTGCAGTAAACACCATGTTTATGCAACACCAACATTCGATGATATTATCACCTCAAAAGTTAAGGGTGGTCTTAATGAACAGAGTCAGAATGCATTCAATTAGCCCATTACAACGTGGTACTCAGATAACCACCATAATTGTCGTTAGTTTCCGTTTCTGCTAGCATCTATCGAGAGCGTCGGGCCGGAAGTAGAAACAAGTTAGTTGTCACTCGACAGATTTCATACATTTTAGTTTACGTTAAGTTGGGTATACTAAATTTTCCTTACTTTTGACTTTGCTCCCACACTCGGAAACTGCTCTGAAATGTTGAAACTTTGTGACTGATTTTCAAAAGACCTTAAAAATAAGAGCCAGGCTATAACTGCGATTAGGTTTTTGTTATGTAAGTGAAGACAGTCTATTTCATGAGGCCGAAAAGTTTTCAACGCTTACCTAATGAAGCACTTGGAATTTACTATCAAAAAAATGTGAGTAGTTTATGTTTCGAATACTACAAGTTTGATTAATACAAGACGTCGACACTACTCCACCCTGTTATCAATTGATTGCTGTTACGAGCTGGTAACTGGAGAATGAGTGCTGATATATCCTGCCTAAGCACAAGTGCTTCACATCACTGATCACTTGTCTGTGGGCCAAAGGTCAAGTGTTCAAACTACTGACCGGTAGATCGCAGCTTTGAAATTTCCCCGGGGTTTCGTGCGATACGCTCCGTTGATGATTCCCAACAAGGACAAAACGGCTCTACAAAAACAGCTGGCAAATCCTGCAACTGAAGGCTGCAGCAAATAAAGTTAAACATTTTATGCACACTATAGATGTATCAACAGGTAAGTCATAAAGTGAAAATAACCTATCTGAGAAGTCGTCTTTCCCCCACTACATGATGAGTCTGCTTTCAGAGCACACGCAGTTTTGGAGATAATTAACTGGGTTGCGAGAATATCCCAAAATGTTACAGAAGTTTCGATGAGGAATTTATGTGAAATAAATAGTTATCTTTGGGTCGGTTTGTTGCCCAATACAAATCTCTTGCGTTGTAAATAGTTACATTTTAATAAAAAGTTGCTTTGTGATTTTACTGAAAAGCAATTGACATCGTAAACGGCCTTTATTAAAGCCACTTTCTATTTTTTGCTGTATTGCCTGAAATAAATGAAGTTAATACACTGAATTTAGAATTTTCGACTCTCCAAAATGGGTAGTTTAAGTTTCAGGCGATAAACGTTTGGTGAAGGACACTTGTTGCACATTTTTCTTGGATTGACCACTCTTGGAAATGGTCTGTCCTTAGAGATTTTTGTGTACGTTTGAGTAAATCAGTACAAATTTGCTGACACAAGTGACCAAAAGGTATCAATGGCAGCTGAAGGATTTTCCGGACTTTCCTCTTATTTTGTCCACTAAATGTTACACTAGCTGAGCCTTTTATCTTCTATGGAAACATTCGTTTACCCAACCAAAAGTCAGACGAACAATGGAGTTCGCGCTTACTCAGAGTTATGTGTAATAACATCTTCAACGAAATCCTTGCATTACTGAAAAATAATAAAGGGGACAGTATTTTAAGCCTGACAATCAGAAGTATGTGAAGCTCTTATGTAATCCCACTAAATGTTACACTAGCTGAGCCTTTTATCTTCTATGGAAACATTCGTTTACCCAACCAAAAGTCAGACGAACAATGGAGTTCGCGCTTACTCAGAGTTATGTGTAATAACATCTTCAACGAAATCCTTGCATTACTGAAAAATAATAAAGGGGACAGTATTTTAAGCCTGACAATCAGAAGTATGTGAAGCTCTTATGTAATCCTTGATAATCCAAAAACAGTTACAAAAGTTAAAAAGTGATCGTTGATAACGACAACTCAGACGAACTGATACTACTTTCCACTCAGTACTGTTTTGCCCAGGAGCGTATTGACGGACGAGTAGCAAAATCTATGTAAACACAGTAAACCTTTCAATATGTGACCCCACTGATCAGTTCCGCCTGGTAAGCGTTTTGAAACATTCCAACATTGTAATTCGCCGAAATCTTCATCATGGTATTCAAAGTGATACGTACTGCAATCTATATGCATAGATGCGACACCACATAAATAAATGCCCAATAAATATTATAGTGGCGCAGCAAATGTTATGCACATTTACCACCAGCACATCATCTTTTACGACGATAGAAGAAGATTGATGCACACCACATCTGACGTGGAGCTGCGAGTGGGCAGTTCCTTGGGAAGCGTTTCATTTGAATTATCCTTATATTTTTATCGTCACCTCAGCTGGCAACCAATAGTTAACACCAACGGATTTATCGCTCGTTCATAGCAAAATCTCTGGGACTCAAAAAACACTTGGAAATATTAGTTTAAATCTTAACACATCCCGATTGACTATTATGAATCCAAAATTAACATAACTAGCCGCACAATTTCAAGGTATATCTACATGGGTTTAGAAATCGTGCAACTTCAGATGAGGTCAGGCTTATCACGATGAATATAAAATGATGGATGGAATAAACTTTTATTACTTACTGCATTTTCCTTGTTTGTTTCAGAAAGATGTTATCGTTGAACAAATATTGTCTCTCCGAGACAGGGCGAAATGATCTGCCGGGGTTGAAAACTCTCCAACTAGGAGACTGAACACCGCCCTCACATGGGGCATAAATGTTGTAGACGTTCAGACCATCGGTAGCACTGACTACCGCAGCGACCTAAAATAAATTTGATTCATATTTAACTCACTTGTCAGATCCGGTTTGAAGTAGCAAAAGCTTTTGCCTTATCATCCGTTCAAAACCCAGAAATTCAGCACTGCTTCCCATTTTAATTGAAAATTAGGCTACATCTCACAAAAGCATGACAGTGACATAACAGGGTGGCAAATCCAAATGAGGGGCCTAGGCCTTGTCGCAACAGTTGTCGCAACCAACAGTGATCTCAGTCCGATGGGAAGCAAGGCCATTCTCCAAAAGATCACACAGAAAGGCGGAAACTGGTCTTCACGATTGAAAAACATACCACCGGAAGACCACCCTGTGCGAGCCGTAATGCTCACTGCCGACTTATATTATCCGGATTGTGTTGAATTTTCAATTTGGGTAAATCCAAATTAAGATGCACTGTTATCACGGGGCAGCCTCACACGAAATTGTAAACCTAAAAATCGTTACCGTTTGAGTATATCCGTTGGAGGGGAAAAACCCTTGTTGTGAGCTAAGCATGCCCACTATGTATTTACGGAGAGTCTCTTTTCTTGAAAACCGCGGCCAGATTTCTTGGCTTCGAGTGCATTTTTCGCTGGATCGGAGAATTTTTTAAAGGGTCATGGGTATTTTGTTCGCTAATTGTTCTCCTGTTATAGTAAACTGTTCGGTGCAATTCAAACTTTCATAAAATCAAGGTTAATATTTCGAAATAGCATTCACCCTCGTGATACAGCAAAGCACACCAGTAATGACATTTGGGATGTTGTCGATATGCAGGAATGCCATGGAGAACACTAGCAGATAAAGATGACTTAGTTATGACCGGGTATTTATTATACCTCGCATTCGATATGAAGCGGCACACTTATATTTGACAGAATGAACGATTTTCAAAAGTAAGTTAATGTTAGTGTAATTTTGTAATATGATTACCTCAACATCCGATCTTATATCACGAATTAGGACCATGTTATTTGTGATGCCATACCGGAATTTTGTTTCATTAACTTTCAGACTAAGGCCGTTCAAGGCGCACTAGCCACCATATAACAAGGCTCTCAGAAGGCGCTCATCGGATCACAATCGAGAGAAGAGTGTGCGTTTTGAAGGATCAGAGTAAAGTTCGCCTCATTCGAAGAAGAGTAGCCACGAGTATCTTCGTTCGTTCGCTTGACTTATCTAAGTAATCTTGTCAAAAACGAATACTTTTGATTAACAAAATAAAAAAAATTCGCCAAGAAACCGGATGACTGCCCAGCATACTACTCAAACCTAAGCGCAGCTCAAAATTTCTTAGAAGATCAAGTTGTACCTGAGTTTCAACAGGCTTAAAGATAATAATAATACGCCATCCTGTCGGCTGCGAACTAATCCGCTTTACATCCACACGATTTGCAGCTGAGTGTGTAAAACAAAGAATAAACTGTTTACATTCCATCAGCCGGAACTCAATGACCCAAAATGAACTCGACTGCGCAGAGATCACAATAACGTCCTCCGGCTCTCGTCACAAACCGATCCAGAAAACATGATGCAAAATATTACACAAACAACATCCTTGTTGCTGCAATACCAATGCGCAGATTCAAACGGTACTAATCAGTCGGAATCGCAAACACAAAAAAAAACAAATTAAAAATTTCAGAATATTAATTTTTGTGCTCGAAGAGCTCGGCGTGAGAGATATCGTCCGGCCAATCATAAGAGGTAAGAATGTTAAAAATTTTCCAAATCACTGAGATTGGTGATTGTTGAATGTAACTCAAGAATATTTCACTCCCAGTTAGATCGCCAGCTTTTGTGTAGGTAAGAAACAGCACCACGTAGAATGAATGTTTTAATCAAATAAAGTTAGCACCTCACCGGACGACTGTGCTCCAAACTGGTGACACAGCAAACGTCTAATTAAGAGATACCAACAGCGCGTAGTGTCACTCACCACATTCATGCACTGAATAGATTTGTTTTCAGTAAACATGCATTTGTTTGCACACTGACCAATACAGCAGCTGGCGAGTAGGTCATCCCAAAGACTGTAACGCATGTGAAAACAGTGAAGAAACTTAACGGGTCGCCTTCATAAAAACAATAAATACACGTAAATTTGTGAAGGATATTTAGACTGCAAATTAACTTCTGGATTAGAGGGGGCAAATCTAAAGGTGTTATAAATAAACCTGGACGTAAGTATACATACTCGAGTCGGCACCAAAGGTTTATCATTCACTGACAAAATAAACACGATCGAGAAAATGGCCAAAACAGAAAGCCTGTTGCAGGTACTGATTCCCGTTTGGCATTTCTGGACTTCTGTTGAAATGTCAGATAACAATGATACGTCACCGGTTTACTCACGCAGTTTGGTTTCAAAGCTTGAAGTTGTCTGTGCTGTGCAGCACATCTTGCTTGAGTGTAAACCAGACCTTTAAATGCCATGAGCTCATGAAATATATCGGCTCATTAGCGCGAATTAGAAATTTCAACATACTTGCTTTTCCCTGCATATTCGGTTGTGTCAAACAATCTAACCACACTATTCCTGCATTCCGTGGTCCGCAGTTGATCATTGCTGCTTAGCCGCACCATTACCAACTGACGAAAACCTTGCATTCACTGATTTGGTGATTGTTACCGCACTGCTGTAATTTCTGTAAAAATTATTTTTGTTGTCTACTGCTGACCGTCTCTTCCTTGCTTTCCATTGGTTTCTAAACTCGTGCGCCAGCCAGTGTGGTGAATTAAAAATAACATCTCCATTTTGGAAGGGTTACTCATCCAAATTCTCGATAGTTTTGACAACCAAGATCACATTTAGGAGCTGTGAATATCACTAATTATGGACTTAAACCGAATAGGTACAGCAAACAGGCATAAAAACTGATGTTTGACGTTCCACAGTTTGAGAGCCCAGTGAACATGCCACCAAGTATATGACCTATGTACTTCGTATAATCATCAGTATTCAGCAGTGACGCATCACAGCATTACAACCATGATTACTGGTTGTTGATCAGGTGGCTGTTGATCTGTTCGCCGGGCTCGGAAACTGGCTTCCAGTGTTCCGTCACCGTACGAGGAGACATCATCAGTGCGCGGCTGAGTGACTACTTATTTGCGTGCGTGCATTTGTAAGCAGTTGAAGACTACCTGTTATACTCTACAGCGATTGGGTAATTTGGGGCATCGATTGGTATCTGTTGGCTCCGTTTGTATCTTTGTTGTGTTGTGATCTGCCCTGCTGATTGGTTATCCCAATGCTTTTTATTTTTAGTAGTTTCTTCTCCGACCTTGATTGGCGCGCGTTATCTTCTGATCTGGGGCTTTATTATTTGCTTACCCGGCACTGTTTTCACTATCGTAACGGCTAGTGCCCCTGCGTCCTCCAGTTCATTTGATACTTTGGTTTATTGGTTGGCCATCCTCCAGTCAAATTGATGTGTCCACCCTAATGATGCTATCCTGCTCCTCTTATGAGTTTCCAGTCTGGTTACTTTTGCAGCTCAGAGCTTTGAGGTTTTGGCGTTCTATTGCTCTTAGTGGTTCGTAAATGGGATCAATCTCGATATGTTTGTTGATAGCTGCTTCTGTGGAATATTACGCTCCCATAAATTCCCGTTCTTTTTCTGTTCTTGCTTGAGCCAATACGCGAACGCTGTTCCAGTCGAACTAGTGTTCTTCCTGATCTGCCTAAGGATATTGCAGTAGTTTAAACTCTACAAAAACAGCCTACGGCTAGCATGCAGATGAAGCGATCGTTCAATATTGTCCATACGTACCGCATCTAGTCCAACTCAATACTTGTTGAGTCCCAGATGCGCTAAACCTGCTCAGGTGTGCATTCAGATCCTCGGCAACCACAGCAATGTCTGAGGTTTTAGCTTGCCACAATAGGGTATTCACGGAGCCATAAGTCTTTTCTTTGATGATGTCAGAGCTACGTTTGGTTGGATCATAAGCAGAGGCAACACACACACATTGACAAACTTCTTGCTTGCGAGAATCCTTCAAAGACGGTGTACTATGCACATGGGATACGAGCCTACCAAACTTGACAAGTTGGATGCCTGTTTAGTCGGAGTATTAAGAATTGAACACATTCTAGACATATTGTCACAGACGGCATCGTCACCAGTACAGCTTGTTCATGTCTACTATAAGTGATTTTTTTTCAACTAGCCCATACATATAGTCAAGGATGCTCTTGAAGGCTGATGGTTATTACTTCGATGAACTGGAAGCACTAAAGTTTTTTGGAGAAGACGAAATTTGCGATGCCTCACCGAAGCTCTACCGAATACGGTATTTTCAAGATTGTGCTATTATCCGAGCGTTTAACAGTATGCTCAGACGTGGTTCACACGGTGAAAAACTTGAAATAAACGAGGTCGGTATGCTGCATGATGCTTCCTATTGGGGGGCTCGTGTGATTGGAAAACAGTAGAATTAACTACAAAAAAGCACAATCAAGTGAAGCACATTACGTAAAGTATACTAAACTTTAAAAAAGTAGGCAACGTTTGTGTAACTTAGTATACTTCTAAAAAAGTATGTAGAAATACGACTGAATATTTATCCAATACCAAATAAATTCTGTGGTACCCAGGAGAGGTTGAGAGACAGTGAACTGACGATTTTGTTAGACTAGATTTACAGGTGTTTTAAAATAATAAGCTTATTTTTTATGAAAGGGTGTACTGTTTCTATTAAAACAATGGTATTTAAGCATACTTATTTACACGAACCCATTGTTCTTATTGATGAACCTTTAAAATATTGTTCTCTCTTTATCCATCTTGCTAGATCTGACCGGAGACATGCTGTGATATACCAAAGTTTGTTTCATTCACTGCGGTCATGCACGTAAAATATGTGCTGCCTGCATAAAGGCTGGAGGAAAGACTGAGCGAACACCTATTGATTGGTTCCTGGTCAATGTCAGAGTAATCAAATCGTTTTCTTCAACCATTTTTCTCTACACGGTCCGGCATGGTTGTTGTTGATCAGCAACTCAACTTCTCACCGAACCATTCTGGTTTGTGTTGCGTAACAAGACCTTGACTTAATTGGCCGCGTCAGCAAAACATTGTTTCTAATCTTTATTTATGCAACCCGAATCAATTATGTGAGAAAATACAAAAGTGTAAAAGTACAAAAGTTTGTTTTCGGTCATTTCCGGTGATGATTATGCTAGACAGAAGAACTCTTACGTAGCCGTTCAATCAAAATATAAACAATAGTTATTACCTTCGATTGTTGGCCTTTCTCTCCCTACATTAGAAGTCTTGCAAGCTATGTGAGTTGATGAGATTAAAAATACTCGAAATCATCAATTGAAGCTGTTGGTTGAGAGTTCAGTGGTTCAAACCATCTGTACCATTTCACTGCAGAACGCGAACTCATGATATCTCTTCAGCACTTCACCCTATGGTCATTGCATTTTTGTGCAAATTGCATCTAAAGTGACCAGTGTAGATCGGCAGTTTCAATACATAACCCATTCGCATTATTTGCTCACTTCATTTTAAAAACCGATTCGAGGACTTGCACGCCTACCGCACCACGCTGACTAAATTTACAGCAGTGCTTTTGTTTCTTCCAAGAAACGTCACTGTGAAATACTTAAGTTCTGATAATGTGAGCAAACGCCAGCTGAACGGCATAGAAATTTCAGCGAAATGCCATGATAAGGTCAATTACATATCATTAGTTGAGTACAAAAATTAGCATAGTGGTTAGACCCAAAGTGAAACAACTTACCTCTGGTCAAGCAAACCGTGGTAATAATTAAAGTAGAGCATGGCGTTTTCTTTAAAAATTCTATTGGGAACACCATTTCCTACAGCGATGCCCTAAAGTAAGGAAAATATTCGTTAATATTTGATGAGATCACGAAATTCAAAACAAACAAATTTAACCTCTGGATAACGGTAGATCAGCCTATTACAACGGCTGTCAAACAAAGTACTCTTAACCACTTGAACTTGTCTAAACCACTGGAATAACCAAATTTGCATCATTCAGAACAGAGTCCACGTATGACGTTTGGTTGTTAACAACTTTAAGTGAACAGTGGATTTTTGTGATCAGGTTAGTGACAGCCCATCCTTGACCAAAAGTCCAGTCAAACGTTTTGTTCGCTGTAATATTTTAAACGAGAGAGAGTATGGCAAGGCAGTGAGATTCTGAGAGTCCTTATCCTTCACTGAGCCACTATGAAAACTGTAAGTCAAACTCATATCTGTGCAGTAAAATATATGTCTGGTAAACTTGAAACACCCAGTTATGATGTTGTTGTGAAGGGCTGTGATCAAGTTGTCGAACAGACATAAAACCCGGATCAGAGCCAAATTACCCATACATAGCCTTTGACCAACTATACCAATATAGTTTCCGCAAACCACCTTGTTCACTTGGGCAGAATATCTTCAACACCATCAATTTAAGTAACAGTGCCACTTATTTCACGTGAAGTAACCTGCTTCCCTGTTGTCACTTTATCACTTGTGACAGTACTGGGTGTTCATTCAATGTAGCTTCTTTTGAGCTCCTTGTCTCAAAAGCTTATGAGTTGTAGCCATGCTGTCTGACCTGATAGTATTACGAGGTATGGGTACAGTTGTTTTCTAGCCACAGGTCTCACAGAAGTTGACTGTTGCATCAGAAAATGCAGGCAATTAGATGGTTATATCGCAAACACATCCATACTGGTAAGATATAAAGTGCCCACTTCTCGATCCTCTGAATTCCATCGTTTCTCACTGCCCACTTTACTGATCACGTCCGATTGCATGCGTCACTACAGTGGACAGGTTCGTATTTACGCTCATTATTGATATGATCCTATATACAATAAAGAACGAGTCAGTCCGATGAGCTCTGAAAGTGGATACATTGAAAGTGCATGAAAAATACTGAAGCCGTCCTGACTACATTTCGACTCATGTGTTTAAAAAATTTGCCAAATATTTCGGATGTAGAATGTTTGCTTTGTGTAGGTTTTAGTACTTCTCCATTCAAACATTACCCGCTGATTTACTGACGATTTGTTCTTCATATTCAATCTCAAAGAACATCCTGTACATCTTGCCTGAATTATTTCTGTACTAGCTGCTTAATGCTTCATCGTAGCTGAAATACAAACACCTCTGTGATATTAAATAAAAGGATGTGGATTTTAGTAGTCAGTCCTGAGAGAGACCGTCGAAGTAAAATGCGCAAGCTACTGAAAAAATGCATGCGGTAGCGCAACTGAGGTATTAAATAGATACTACTATCCCATCCTGTCATTTGAGCACAAAGAAGCTCGATTTCCACTCACAGCACATTGCAACATGTAATCTAAATAATAAGGGGTGTTTGTGTGTGTGGTGCTGCTTTAGTAGAGAGAGAGAGAGATTGCAAAGGATACTTCCTCATTTACTCGCACAGAAAGAACATTATGGTAAATGTGTTGCTTACATACAGTAAGATGAGTGGGTTCCTTTTAAGTTGACAGACTACCTGTAGTTCACATTAATATTAAAACCAGTTTAGATATTGACTGACAGTGATTCTTTGAGAAAATAAGTTACTAAGTTCGAAAAAATTAGTCGGTCAAAACAGTCACACAACTCCGTAGCCATTTGGTGTTTTGACCGCAGGTTTAAAGAGTATTGAACAAAGGACGTTGTTTCAATGGTAATGGTAAGAAAAAACAGAATAAAAATGGACGAAAATTAGAAACATCAAATAAACATACAAGAGTCGCTTGTCCATCTCCCATTCACGTGTAAACTCTAAGCTGGATTTCGGCACCCATAACTAGCTTCTCACTACAAAAGTACACAACCACACATAATATCTCAAAACTACCGAAAGTAAACAGAAAAATGTGGTCGGTTTATGGCTTAAGTAGAACAAAGCATACATTCCCACGATGAATCACAAAGATGATGTGCAAACCTCAAGATGAAATGCAATGTGTAATTGAGTTTCATGCATAAGGGTTCTCAATACGTTTGTCAGCAGATCTCTGGACACTGGGCAAAGATTCGTTTGTACCAGACATTCGACGTCAGTTCTCGGCATACAAGTTGTTGAATCGCTTCGTCTTCCCCATGAACTAATGCAACATCAAGAAATTAGTGGTTTTAACCTCTTCCTGGTTGTTAATTAAGGGTATTAAATATGCCTAATGTAGCCTCATGTATCATAGCAAGAGGACCACTTTTAATGAGAATGTAATCAATATAGCGCTGGTAAAAGAGCAACTGTTGTATTACTGGTCCCAAGGCGCCTTTCTCGCCTTTGCTACAAAAAGTAAAAGTGACCCGGAGCAAAACTAATGGCTACTCAGTTCCTCTGTCTATAGATAGAATCACTGGACAGAAGCTGTGATAAAGGTTTGTCGATTTGAAATACAACGCGAGAACCCACAAACTAATGTATATACGGAAAGAAGAATCAAAAATACAGTCATCCGTTCTGACTGGCGGCTCACTGAGCTATCTTCATTTGTGCCCATTCAAATTCTTCGGGCTTGGCGCAGACAAGCGCTAATTGTTTCCTACAAAGCGACCACTTCGTTGTTTTTATCAACCAATGAGGCGTCAGTGCCCGTATCAGCACGTGGAATTGGGAACTGACTTCACCATTGTCACAAACGTCTATCAATGAACCTCCGAGTATTCTTCTTATCACCTACTTTGGAAAAACCTAATCTTAGCGGCTTCAATTTTATTTTTTCAGTACTTTTGAGGTCACCAGCCTAAACTATTATTTTCCACCCAGCTACTCTCTTAGAGGTAGCTACCATAGTGAGATGGCTATGCGAGAGCTCAACATCTCCCGGCTCCATAGTAGAATCGGGCATCTTGTTATGGCGAGAAGACGTAATTTTTCTCTAAGGTAGCGCACATATCTTCATGTTAGAAAGGAGTCGGAAGAGTTGAATTTAAATCAAGATGATGCAAACGCTGATAATGAACTTCATCGAACACCCCAGTTTCGCGGGTGCACCTTCTCAAAAATTACATCTCCAAGTACATAGACCTTCAGAGATGTTGAAAACTGTCCATATAATAAATGGGACGGCCTTTCTGCCATTAGTTTTGAGAAATGGTAGAACTTCATTAGTCTCTATCCGCATATCTATTTTTCCGTGGAAATAGCATTTGTGAAATCCACCCTTAACAAAGAAACATATCGGTTTACTATACTATTTCAAACCTTATAATAAAATGTGTGCCTGAAAGCAACCATTCCAGCTCAGAAATCGCTCAAGTTCAAAATGAACTGAATGCTAGCTTACTTTCAGACTCAGGTCCTTGAAGTTGTTTTCCAGAAAACGTACAGCCAACAATGGAACGTAGACACCGGCGTAACTTTCTCCCGTAATGTAAAAGTCACGGCCTTTGTACTTTGGAAACTTCTTCATAAAACTCAGCATCGCGTGATAGTTTGTTAGTGACGTCTAGTTTGCGGGAAGATGAGAAAATGTACTCGGTACTCTATACCCGAAATAATGGAACCTACTAATCACATAACAAGCACATTTACCGAGCATCAAAAATAATATGGCCAAGAAATTCGATGTTTTCCGCTTGCGATAATACAATGCATCTGTCTTCATGAATGATTAAGCGGTCTTGAAATATATGACAACTCACCACATCGTCGTCCGTAGTCATGTTTCCGTCCTTCACATAGGAAAATCCGACACCTCCTGGAGACTCCAAATACAGTACATTGGCAAACTTTAAAACCCAACAAAAAAGAAAGAAAAATGGGGATTTCAACGTTTCTAACTGGAGCAACAAGTAAGAACATAATTCAAACCACCTAAATAGAATTTGGGCGAATTCTTTAACAGTATATTCCATCTGTACCTGTATTTGGCGGTCAGGGATTTGTCAAAAACGATTTTTCGTAATTCGCGTTCTGCTTTGACATGTTAGTTCTGTTAGTTCTGTCTTGTGAAAACGCTAGTGTAAATATTGTAAACAGACAAAACAGCTGATGTGAACAGGCGGTCCAACTTAGACATAACACACCCCTTGACAACCTCGTGAAATGTTGGTGGTTCGGCTGCATCAGCTGATCACCATCATTAACCGATCACTTGACGTTCAACCTGTTCACCAAAATTAGCAACTGGTTTGCAAACGCTATGTGAGACAAACGAGAAAGAGGCCCTATAAACGGTCGCATGACATCCACGTTGTTGTTAAGCTAAACTACAAGTTTTCAATTGTCTCCGTTTATGGAGGTAGGGAAGGACACAAACGCAACTAGAATGAATCCACATAATAACCCATGTAAGAACAAAGGTGGAACATGAATACGCAGCCTAGTAATCAGTTAACATAATCATCCAGATTCCAGGGTAAAAGAACTACAAAAAATCAAACTCAGAACCGAAGCTAATAGATATTAAGCAGAGAACGCAAACCTTGAAGGATGAAAACAGGCCGTAATCAGGATGTACATCCGTAACTGTTAAAATGGTCACATCCCAAAGGCCTATGAAATAGAATAAATTGGACCACTGCACAGCATCAATTGTAAACGGATCAATCAAATCACGTGTGGGCAAAACGGTCAATTGATGGATATAAAAAATGCTCCTCTGAGGCTAGATAAACGCCAACCAATCTAGAGGAAAAGCCCATGCTCGCGACGAAACTTTTGCAAGCTAGTTGCTGAGCTCGGTGAACAAACGAAACTGTACCTGATTAAAAGCTGTCTGCTTCTGTCAGTGGCTAATAATACAGGTGCGTTAGGAATAGAATGGTAGCGTGTAATAAATTACACGCAGAATCCGTGATACATAAGCACATCCGGGTGCATAAACAATTCTCTGTCCATAAGTTTCTTAACCTAAGCCAAAGGTCCGAATCCAAATTTAGCATATTCCTTAGTTTCTTGTTATCAACAGGCGACGAGCGTCTTTAGCCACTGGGACTCGCACATGGTTTCCATGAGGTTTCAGTTTTTCGTTGCCCTATTTCATTCGATGATCAATGCTATAGTGCAGGCTTCCGGTTTAATTTGCTTCTGCAGAATGACTCAAAATTGTGAAAACAAAATTTAACGGTAGCTCTCAGTGATTGAACTATGGTTTCCAGTGCACTCTGAAAGTCGAGGAAAACTCCCTGTGATCACCCGAACTGTTTTGATGTGTCAAGAATTTTTAAAAGCAAACCGCACATAAAGACTGGTACTACTTACGTCCCGTAGTATTATGAGAAATATTTTACATTCACTAACGACGTTTCACTCTCTAAACTTCTCGAATACCCTATCAGTTCATGGGGTCATTTTCTAAATTACTGTAGGTGAAAATGTCTGTTACAACAATTGTGCCAATAACTCATGTCCGAGAATTTTTCCCTTAAGTGTAGTCAGTCTACGCTAAAAGGCCGTTTTATCCTCGTAAGGAACCATTAGCTTTGCTTATCCTCATGCTATAAATCATAAGGCAAAAGAAAGTTCTGTCCGATAAGTCGTCACTCAAGGTGACAATGAACGCTGGATCATGTGATGTGGACTCCGTCAATGAAGGATGAGTGGCGCTACATCCTGCCTAAGTATGAGTTAACCATACGGCTGCTTAGACAGTCTTGGCCAAATTGTCAAGTGTTCTAACCACTAGCCTGGAGGTGGTAGGTTCCAGACTCCCTGTAGCTTTGTGAGATGCATACTTCCTAGAATGAATAATACAGTAGTGCGGTGCTTCTCTGCTTGGTATCAAAGAATGACCCTACCCATAGGACGACACCTGAAGTCGTCACAGGTTTCATAGGTTCATAGGTTTCCACATAATGTCAAAAGTCACTTTAACTTTGTTGCATGTGGATGTCCTTCATCAGAGGAAGGCTATCCATGAGGTAGAAAAAGTCAGTCGGCCTGTGACAGAAGTCCGCTATAATCAGGTCAACAGTACTAACCGATAAATAAACTTCGGCTATTGATAGTTAGCCTCTGACTAGTTACATTGATCTCACGCATTTTTTTCACACTCACAACCTCACTCCCTAGGACGTCTCCTCAAATATTATGTGAAGTAATTATAAGTGCAGTAGAACTACAAGAAAAACAGATAGTCGTTGGGCATTTTTAAGCCTCCACTTTGAAGAAACAACCCAATGAGATGACTCCTCTTTCGTGGCGGTCTTCTTCAGGAGATAGGCTATTTTACGGATATCCAGGCGCCTAGTGCATAAGTTGCTCTTACTTATTTTTTACCATCCATCGTCGCAGTTGAGTCCCCTGATTACAGAACACGTCCCTCCATAGAGAGTTTTCTGGAGAATGAAAAAGCGTTCACCATCGGGTAACGTTTGGTGATGGGCCTCAGGTGAATAAAGATCAGGCTTGGGCATTTTTGCTGTCAAAGTGCTGCACCCAAAAATATTGGTCATCTCTCCCCGTTGTGGGTATTCTGACAGGCTTTCTAAGATTTTGAAATGAGAAATTCAACGTTTGTGTTTCGAAATACGAGGGTAGGTGCAAGGATTATCCAGGAACCCAGCAACTCGGCACACCGCACAGTGAAGTCAATGAAGTAAGCAATGCATAAGAACGCCATTTACTTATCAAAACATAGGAGTGAGTGCTACAGTGCAGCCTTCACACGAGTAGCTTCGTCAAAAACAATGAGTTGATGACTGACATCTGTCACCAGGTAAGGCATGTCATGTTTTGGTAATGGACCAAGAACTCGGTCGAATCGTGATGAGGTTAATGGAACATTTTGAGCATCAGCACGGTTTAGCAGGAACAATTAAGCTTCATGATATCTATTTACATGACTGTCCGAAATAACAAGCTTTCGATTAAATAAATGTTTTTCAACACAAGGGTCAATCCATGGGCAAAATACATAGATGAACTATCCCGATTTATTTACAAGCACGCCGTGGCAGTAAGCAATGATGTATTCGGAGAGTTTCTCTGAATAACTTCCGCATGAAAGGTGAAATTGGCTTGTTGGTAAACACCAATTTATCACAACTATTCATGAGAATAAGCACACTGATATGACAGTCCAACATGTCCCACAATGGAGATTCGTCATCTCCAATACAGCGATATAACTCTAATAAAAACATTGATTCAGGTGTTCACATACCTATGATGTGAAAAGCGTATATATATATATATATATATATGGTGCCCCTTGATGTCACATAATATTTACCCAGTTCGCTGTTGAAAGATTCGTATTCCAGAAGTTCCTTCTACCTATGTGGTGTGGGGCAGAGATGTGTTAGAAAATGTCCTCATAAATGTCCAAATGAACTGGTTATGGGCTTCCACACAGCACGTTGAGGTTTGCGTCAAATTAAGTGACAAGTAGCCAAATAACAGTTACTTACCTTGTTCCATGAATATGGATTGTAATCCAGCAATCCGTTTCGTTGTACCTGAAAGGTTGGCGTAGTCAGGTGGAAAAGGTGTACTGAAGTTTTTCAGCTTATGACAGAGATATCTCAGGGAGGGTATGAAACTCAAAAGTAGAGCCGCACTGAGTTATCTTCACGAAACCGAAACAAAATTTCTGACAAACTGAACTTATTGGTGTACATAGCACTAAATTAAGTAATCTTCTGCCTTCCAAACAAATGGCCCTATAGTGACAGACATTTATGACGAAATCAACCCCCTGGTGAACTCTTGGCTAACTTTTTGACTCTCACCAGATCACATTTTCGGTAAAATACCAAGCATGGAAGCCTATTCAAACAGTTAACAAAACTGTACAATAAATAAACTGTAGTGGTTATCATTTTCCTTGAATAATATCCTCGAAGAAATTTCAGATAAAACCCTGCCTATAACCTGAAAATCAGGCTGAAAAATTCCAAGTTGAGTCACAAAATAACAACAAAATAAGGTGACACTGACATTCTGAATCATCCTCCTTGCTTTCTCCCACTGGAAACCACCTAACTAACCCATCCGTTCTTTAGTCTTTTACTTTTAACATTCGGCATCGCCCACATGACCCAACTCTTCATCAACTTGGTTTGCACGCGTCATCACCTCAGGCATGAAAAACTAAAAGACTGAAACAGAATGCTGAGCTGGACGCTTAAGACCGAACTGCACGGTACTGTGCAATATAAATAGCACCAATACACTGAAGAAGCAAGCAACCCTATAGTACTGGGGGGTGATTCTTAGTCTTTTACGGATCACAGGAGAAATTCAAAGATGCTCTGAAATAGCAAACTTTGATATATTTGCTTTTGATTTGATACGACACCCAATATAGTGTATCACAAAATTTCTCGTGGTTTACCCAAACATTTTGATCGTAAAAAGTTGCAGGTTGGTTTTGCATTTTTAAGGCAAATGTATAAAGAGCAGGTTTCTCTAGATTACCAATTCAGTAGCATTTAGCCAATTTTGTTTGTCTGGGAAATAATCGGTGTTATGTTTATGCCGTGAAGGATGCATCCATCAACTGCTATATACACTACAGGATGATTCAGAACTAGGTGAGTGCAGTAAGTGATGGGTAGGCGGTGCACAAAATAAAAAGCTTTCATCTTTGCTTCAGTCTTAGCCTCACAAAACTTATACATGAGCTAACCTCACGCTAAACATGGTGATTTCTCCCTCAAGTAATTTGAATATGGCCACAAGTCAGAGAGGCCATCAAAACCCGGTGAAGTATACTTTTATTTTTGGTGACCCACTGAATGCGAAAAATGACTTGTATACTGTTTAACAGGACGGGTACATTTATACATATATTGTATGATTAGGATGCCAGCCAACAATTGCTTCACCATTAAGCGCCTGTGCATATGTATAAAGTCACAGATGGTTTGCGCAGGGCCAGATGTGGTCCTGCACGCGTGTAGACAAGGGAGGTGAAGACCGGGGGCAAACAAGCGTAAGCAGGCTACGTGCCATCAGCCAGCCTAAACATATCGATACAATAATAAGCACAGACAATAAAGGATTGTTCATCATCAAAGTGCCTGGCGGCATCCGCCAAGTACTTATAATTAGGGTAATAACGCATGCATGCTTTGTCGAAGAGCATGAGTTACCACACAGTCAAGGTGATTTTGGGTAACCCAGCAACATTACTACCAATCATCCGTTTAGTGATGTTGTTTTACTGGACGTGAAACTACAATCTAGGCACTGACAGAAGAACTGGAAGAGCTTATTTAAGTTTTAGACAGTTGTGATTTAAACGTAGACAGCGAGTGCACTGGTAGACCGCTGAATCAGTCTTGCGTGTTGCGCAAACTTGCAAAATCTATACTGAAACAGAGAGCCAGCCTTGTTCAAAAAGACTTATTTTACATTTTGGAAACCAATATCTCTCAAATTTCACTATACCGATAAATATCGCTGTTTGTATGCCACTCTGTCAAGCTACCAATTATCCAATGAAGCTATTGTTTTTTTAACCTGTTCTAAGACTGCCCATAGGTGGGATTTCGACCATCCACAATTTCAAACTCCATTAGTCATCGTATATTGAACACTGCTCATGATTTGAGGTTTTATTACTAATCTTATGTAAACCAACAAACCTATCTATTTTTGAATTAGATTGAATTTGATTTAAAAAATGTTCTGTTCTCTAGAAGCTTATGTGAAATTTGGTCCATCCACTTGACTCGAAAGACTTTGTGGAAACACAAAATAAAATCGTTCAGACATTTTAAAAGTTTTGCGCATGGATAATACCGGTTTTTCCGTTGTACAATGGTAGAAGCAGCATAACAGACCGATACGATGCAATTTTCATGTTTATGTTCAATCGATAATTGCATCAGAAGCGTAAAACTAGGTTGTTGTTGCTTTGTTCATTTGTGCATGTATTGCACTAACAACTATCAAATGTGTGTATAATGTACCTTCAAGGGTGCAGACTTTGCTGCAAAACACTACTTGGTGACCATTCAGCTAAAACCTTGGTGTTGTTTTGTTGGACCTATGCAAATGGATGAAAATATTTGTAGTTGAGTCACACCAAACTCCCGACAAACCAGATTCACTGGTCGGCCACTGCAAATCAGCATCAAATTTTTATGAAAAGCCGGGTTGTCGGAAAACAGAAACAAATCGATTTTGTTGCAATATAGTATGGCTTTTGCCGAGAAAAAATTCGATTTCGTTGGAAAGTTATCAAAAGGCTGCAATATCGAAAAACTTTTGCTAAGCTTATTAGTAAGTGAGTACTAATTAGAGCTGGGCCATGTCACTTATTTTTCGTCTCCAAATTGAGATAATGTGAGTGTTTATTCAAGGCTTTGTAGAACAACTTATGAGCATCCTTATTCTGTCTACGTTCACGGCCGTTGTAAAATGCACAAACTGTTCACAGGTCGGCTAATTTTACTCACGAGATTTGTTTACGATTTGTCCTCAGCCAAAAGAGAGCTTGTCATAATTCGCCTGCCCTCGATTGGTGTTTCTGTCCTTCTAACCTTGAAGATTTGACCTTCTGCCACTGTTTTTCTCAGATAACTTATGTAACTAAATCTTTACCAGCGAGATTAGGCGAAAGTTTTAGGGTGGAGGGTTAAGTATGTATTAGCCCATATACATATCCATTCCCCACATTTCCCGTACGTGGAGGTGGACAGTCAGTTTTAATGCTAGTTATGTCATTGCGACCGTGTGGGTTTTGTTTTATTTCCGAGCAGGCTTCTCCATTGTTCCTGCATCACATGCCCGTGGAATCTCAAAAACAATTTATTGAGGGGAAATAAGATGGATCCTATCTCCAGTGGTTCTTCTATTACCGCACACAGTTGCATACTAAACTGATACTTGCTACGGTTACCTTTTGTCTTGTGTCATAGCTGAGATAAAACTAGCCGTCATAAAGTTAAGCCAACCACTTTCGTCCATTTGTTTGGCAAAATTGTTCCTAGTTCCATCTTTACTTGTAGTAAACTAGCCTAAAATCTGGGAGCTGAGGGGTAAACGCAGCGTGTAACTGCCACGTTTAGAAGTAGGTAGAAGCGCCTTTGGATTGGTGGGACAACTTAAAGTGCATTCAGGCTGTTCCTGCAACAAATCACCTGATCTTATCTGGCTTGGAGACATGAACGCAAGTGAGACTGAGTACATTCACTTCCACTTTCAATGCCGACAGTTTAGGCGACACCCAGAAAATTTATTTTAACACCCAATAGGCCAGTGGAAAATTGGATTCGCACCGTTCATATACGTGGCGTTTTATGCATGCCAAGATTTTCTAAACATTACCGTGGCCCATGCATTTATTGCCCTATCAGAAGAATCTAATATGGTTATCTGTATTTAATATACAGATGTATGCAGTGTTGTCCACAAATTTTTTGCCACACTAGCCAGACACAAAAACGCCGAAAGCAAGCAGGTGCCACCATAAACAACATAGGTGAGCAATCGAAACCCGTGACAATCGAACGCGCCGCGACTTGATCGCAAGCAATTCAGTCAATTAGGCTGTGCTTTTACCATTATTTGCTAAACGTAAGTTTTAGCCGCACTATTAGTTACTGTCATGAGGTTATGAACTTTTGCATTTTTGTGAGCTGTTCAGCGATGTTTAAATGTAAGTTAAATTTTTCACAGGACGTGTACAAAACAGGATGCTTTTTTAAACTCTTATGTGGGAACAATCAGACCCATTCCAGATATCTGTAACTGCAGGAATCTCACCGATTGTACACCGATGTCCCTAACGTCACTAGTCCCATGACTTCAGAAAGAATACTTGAGCGAGAATCTAAAGCCTCTAAACGGACAAGCGGACTCACCAAGCTTGAAATGTATAAACTTTTGAGTACGAGGTTTTGCGATACGAATCTTCCAACAACATGATAAACTTGACGGAGCGTCACAAGACCATACATGTAAGGTTGTTTTAACTTTGGAAAGGTTTTCAAACTGGTTGACCATAACAAGTTGTAAATTGTATTTCAATAGGCTCTTAAAGTTAACCGAAAGTGCAAGTTAGTCGTAATTTCTCGGAACAGAGACAAGTCATTAGTGCGGAAATACAGAGATTGTTTTTGGGCCAAGGCGTTCCACAGTACACGTAAATTTATCAACTTACCCCTGCTATTCCCAAAAAATACAGAGCTATGGAGAATGGTAGAAACTGACTAATGCTGTTGAGAAACCCGGGCTGATGGCAGTAGATTGCACCCAGCAGACTGATAGCTGCCACAACGGATACCCGATTACTCCATTTGTGCGGATGACCCTAGGTTCACGGGTTCTGTTGTATTCACTAGTGGTCATGCACTGCAGTGGAGCGAGTGGTGGGTCTGAATTCCTCGTTGATTCTCTGGAGGACATTTCCAGGTCCCAAAGTGTTCAGCTTACTAACTTCGACGTTCATCAGAAATGAAGTGTGAAAAGTCCATCTCCTCCCGGATCTCAAAGAAGGAAACACTAAATAGAGAGAGTGCAAAGGCTGGGTACCAAAATTATAACCGGGATGCAAAGAATATCCCATGAACGTTGGCGCCAAATTGATGGGCATTCATACTCTAGAATAACGACGTCATAGGGCCTATTCATCATTTTTGGAAGTCGTTCAACAGAAAGAATATACTATGCAGATGCGTTTTCTCCAGCCTGCGCATATCACACAAAACAATAAGCTGCGTTCACAAACTGGAAGCCTGGTGGAAAGACTGCTACGTCCACCAGCACTTCAAAAGAGAATGAAAGTAGGGTAATAACTTCCATCCTACATACTCCAGGCTGGCAGTAAAATGCTCTACTGGAGCAGCACTTCGTTGGAACAAGAAGAGCAGCTTCGGGAGGAAAACCTTGTCACACTTTCACAACCGAATCCTGACAGGTGACGAACGTGAGAATTAACTGGGGATAATAGTGACCACTCTCCTCTAACAAGCAGAATCAGCAACAATAGGCCAGGTAGAAATTTAATGTCCTGTCACGCATTTCAACATTTCCGTCCCATCTCAGATAAATAAGCAGTTAACGTACATGAAAGCACAGCGTGCAACCGTGGGAACAACCACCTGCACAACTGCTGCTTTTTCACTCACACGAAAGGGTCCGTTTTCTGTCATAAGCCCTAACATTGACGAGCATCCAGGGCCACCATTCAACCAGAGTATCAAAGGCTTTTTTTCAGGAAATTCTTCCGCTTCAACTAGCCAGTAGTGATGTTGTGTGTTCTCGGTTGTGCCACTCAAATATCCAGAATAATGCCGAAACCCAGGTTGCTTAGCTATACCAGGGAGGTATGTGACCAGATCCTCTTGAGCTAAAGTGGAAATTCCGGCAAATCTGTCATAATTTTTCACTGCCATCAAAACTACAAATGACCCGAACAAAACCCATAGGGGTATCAGCGTCATCGCGTAAACGCAAAAGGGTTTTCGTAATTTTTCGCTACCTTGAGGTCACTATAATTAGCCGAAAAAACGCGAACCCTAACGTACTATCACAGTCCAGTGTATGAACGCAAGGAAGAAAGCGGTGTGCTTGGGCTCCTTCACGATGTGTTCCCGTAGCGCCCCATATCTAAAGCTACCCGAGATGCCACAACTTACCAGGTGGGAAATTTTTGCTTCCACGTGATGAGAGCAGCCTTAAGCGCCGAACATTAAATGCACACCGAAAGTTTCTTTCAAAACGTAGTTTGAGGGGAAAGAATCTTCAAGAATCTTTTAGTGCCCGATTATATATATTCGAACCCTTGAAATCTCCACATTTCGCAGCAGTTTCTTTTCAGTTGTTTGAGCGAAATCGAGTACAACTCTGGGCGCGCAATTCGTATTTCAATGGCACCTAGTCGGTACGTTTATGGTCTTCCTGAAAACGGTCGTAAATTTTGTGAAGAAAGCTGGTTACTTCACGTGTTTTTATCTCGATTTTGAAGTACGCTCAAAAGAACATAAATGATAACACGCCCTCCATGTCTGCATATACTGAAAATGGAAGGACCATTCGGGACTTATCTATGAAAAAGTCTTCTATCCTTCCGGCAGGCTTCCCGTCGAAATCAAGGAGTTCATCACAGCTAGTAATCTTTTCGTTTTTGTTTTGCTGGTCAGCACACGCTATATCTGGCGCAAAACGAGGCTTAATCTTCACTGGTGTACCGAAACGCCAACAGTGGCGTTAGATGCACTAGTGAGTTTATGAGTAGAACGGCCAGGCTGCATAATAAAGTGGACAGTGCTTTCAAGTCCTGGCACCAATTTAGCGGGTTGGGACGGTCCCGTGGATGCAAGTTACACGCTCGGCAGGGAAGGATTGGGGATATGGTGAACTACGGGTAGTCGCTTTACCCTCATTGCGACGCCGTGTCTGGGTTCGTGGACAGCCCTGTCCACAAAAATTCTGCGTGAGCCCTTTAGGGTTGTCATTGTGGTTGGGATATTCTAAAGAGTCGTGGCAACTTAAGGCCAGGATACATCGAGTATGTCCTTAGGCCTACCGTGTGTTTAATTTGTGCTATTCGAACGAGGAAACAAACAGCCGTGTCTACACGAGGATCGAGAGGGGAAAGCATCAAAAAGGTGTGCTAGAGAGCACCACAGCCTGAAATAACAGCCAGCCAAATGTGGTCACAATTCCTAACTACTTCACGAGTGAACACTACCCGATTTCAAAAACAACACTCGGCATTCCCGCGTGGATACTAGGTATGCAGTCAATGCAAGCGGGAATGGCATGTGTGATTATTGGGAACGTGCACTGGCTAGACTGAGAGCAAATCAGGTAGCTCGGAGATTACGGAGACATAAGATCAGAGGCATCTGATGGTGTTGTACGATGAGGTGGCCTCAGAATGGCGCTGTTACAGCCTAAAGTAAATCTTAGAGGCCTTGCGAAACGAGTTACTTCTGGGGCATCACATCGCATGCATTTAATGGGTCTC